TCCGACAAAAACGACCATTCGTGACCCACTGAGTGTTATGCCGGGCAAGCCGAATAGCGACTCGTGCCCCTCTCATGGCCATTTTTGCGACTGGGCTCCGTCTAAGCGCAAATGGGCATAGTTAAAAGAATTGTTAACTCGTTGCGAAATGATTCACGTTTATTTCCCCAATGCATATATATTCCAGATGCTATTTGTACACATCGGGACTTATGGTATTTATACAGTGTGGTTGAATATATTCAACTGTATCTAGGGTATATTTTTAGATGCAAAACATATGTAAAATCAAAAAATATTCCTGAGGGATTCTTTGACCAAAGTACTTGAAGTCATACGCGCATTCTGATTGTTTTTTCGTATTTTCGCAGATAACAATCATCGATAGAGGGGACGAGTCTCCTTGCACGTTACGGGAAGGGCGAGTGGTGACGAATGAAAAACGACCGGAAAAAAAGAAAGTATACACCCATGTTTGATGGTGGCAAAAAATGAAACAAACACGAAATGGTTATGCGATGGTGATGTATTTGCTACGGGTATCATAGCTGTGTTTTGAACCTTAAGTTTGCAGGTTTTCGGCGACTGTTTTCAGCACATTGGCGTTTTGATAACGTTTGTAATTATTTGTTCAGATATAATTTTCGAGTGTATACCTTCTTTTGCCCGGCAGTTTTTGACCGACTGGCGCCATTGTCCAATACACCAGACTAACATACATTATCCATGTCCCGGTAGTATGCTCTCACCCAGTGAGTGAGTGAGTGAGTGAGTATGGTTTTACGCCGCTTTTAGCAATATTCCAGCAATATCACGGCGGGGGACACCAGAAATGGGCTTCACACATTGTACCCATGTCGGGAATCGAACCCGGGTCTTCGGCGTGACGAGCGAACGCTTTAACCACTAGGCTAGCCGACCGCCCCTTCACCAAGCATATGTAACAGTGGGAGTGTGAATATTGTATTACGCCGTATTCATAAATGTCACAACCTTGGCGTAGACTTACATTTTTTACAGATGAAACAGTTGTTAAATTTTAGTTATGAAATATAATAAAAAGGAGCCCAGAGATTTTCTTCTTTTTAAGATACTGCAGAAATCTAGACTGACCAAATATTATAGTGTGAGTGAGTTTGATTTTACGCCGCAATATTCCAGCAATATCACGGCAGGGACACCAGAAATGGGCTTCACACATCGTACCAATGTCGGGAATCGAACCCGGGTCTTCGGCGTGACGAGCGAACGCTTTAACCACTGGGCTACACGACGCCCCCAAATATTATAGACTTGCATGGGCTGTATTGGATATATTTGTTCCAGGGTCTGTATGACAGACTAGCCTTGGTGGTGCATGTCCTGTAAACAATCGACTGATACTGGGAATATATTGCACATGGCCCCTTTCCCCAATGTGATCTCCGCACTACGACTGTGGTAAGTCTTTGTTAAAGTATGGGAGTTACGATCGTCTTTGCGCTAAGATCGCTTTGTGGAACGGGGCCCTGGACAGTCAGGTTCAGTGAGGTGCACAATATGAGGTAGAAACTCGGGAGTGACTTTCACTGATGTGGGGTCGGGATAGGAGGGAGTGTTGGAGGGTGACCCAGCTCACCACGCCTACCCTCATGGCTTGTATGTATATGTCCCTTCAATTACAATCATGTATGACTGGGACCTGGTGTTGGGTATATGCGTGCCAAGAAATTCGTACCTCGTTTTCTTGAAGAAAACAAACAAATCGCCTGCACCTCCTCGATAGTTTCATTGGACAGATAGAGGGCTATCAAATACATAACCTACATCGGCCTTAATACTGCAGTTTGGAGGTGCATGAGGAGATATGAAATCGTGCACGCACAGTGCACTGAGCTACAGGCTTTATTAACGACGAGAGTCGGAATGCTCAGCGCACCGGGCAACAGTCTATGTAAATGACTTGGGTCAGGCAGAGACCATATGATAGATTATATGGTCTCTGGGTCGGCTGTTGTTAAACGTTTAATGTAATCAAAGAAGTCTCGCTATGGTTTGATAGCCTTCATAACCGGGTGTCATCACACAAAAGCCCGTAGCTCAACTAGCATTGTTAGGAAATATATACTCACACGTTGTACCACACGTATACGTCACACAATGTACCATACATATACGTCACACAATGTACCACACATATACGTCACACAATGTACCATGTGGCTACATGGACGTCACACAATGTACCACACATATACATCACACAATGTACCACATGGCTACATACACATCACACAATGTACCACATGGCAACATATACATCACACAATGTGGCACACATATACGTCACACAATATACCACATGGCAACATATACATCACACAATGTGGCACACATATATGTCACACAATATACCACATGGCAACATATACATCACACAATGTGGCACACATATACGTCACACAATATACCACATGGCAACATATACATCACACAATGTACCACATGGCAACATATACACCACACAATGTACCACATGGCAACATATACATCACACAATGTACCACATGACAACATATACATCACACAATGTGCCATACATATACGTCACACAATATACCACCTGGCAACATATACATCACACAATGTACCACATGGCAACATATACATCACACAATGTACCACATGACAACATATACATCACACAGTGTGCCACACATATACGTCATACGATGTACCCCAGGGCAACATATACGTCAGACAATGTACCACGTGGCTACATATACGTCACACAATGTACCCCATGGCAACATATACATCACACAATGTACCACGTGGCAACATATTCGTCACACAATGTACCACATGGCAACATATACATCACACAATGTACCACATGGCAACATATACTTCACACAATGTACCACATGGCATCATATACATCACACAATGTACCCCATGGCAACATATACATCACACAATGTACCCCATGGCAACATATACGTCACACAATGTACCACATGGCAACATATACATCACACAATGTACCACGTGGCAACATATACATCACACAATGTACCCCATGGCAACATATACATCACACAATGTGCCACATGGCAACATATACATCACACAATGTACCCCATGGCAACATATACATCACACAATGTGCCACATGGCAACATATACATCACACAATGTACCCCATGGCAACATATACATCACACAATGTGCCACGTGGCTACTTATACGTCAGACAATGTACCATGTGGCTACATATACGTCACACAATGTACCACATGGCAACATATACATCACACAATGTACCACGTGGCAATATATTCGTCACACAATGTGCCACATGGCAACATATACGTCACACAATGTACCCCATGGCAACATATACATCACACAATATACCATATGGCATCATATACGTCACACAATGTACCCCATGGCAACATATACGTCACAAAATTTACCCCATGGCAACATATACATCACACAATGTGCCACGTGGCTACTTATACGTCAGACAATGTACCACGTGGCTACTTATACGTCAGACAATGTGCCATGTGGCTACATATCCGTCACACAATGTACCCCATGGTAACATATACATCACACAATGTACCACATGGCAACATATACATCACACAATGTGCCACATGGCTTCATGGGCGTCACACAATGTACCCAAGTGACAACATGTACCCACGTGGGAAATCGAACTCCGATGTTCGGCGTGACACAGTCTCTTAACGTCTTCAACAAGCCTGAAACTTGGCTCTGTCTTTGAGATGTCGGGCCGGGTGGGGGTCTTTGATGTAGGGCTGGGATGTCTCCAAATTTACTACCCGGGTACCCACCCCACTATTACCCGACCCTACCCGGGTATCTGCAATTGGTCTCGAGAAATAGGTACAAATGTCCGATTGGGAATAGTTTGACCGTAGCCGTGGCAAAATGTATTTAGATACTCGTATAAAACGATCTGGTCATGCATACACTGAAGTTGACTGGAGTTTTATCTCAATTCAAACATAAAGTCAGAGGGAATACGTGCATAGTCAGAAAGAAATGCGAACTTTAGTCACTTATAGTGTAATCGTGGAAGTTCTAGATAATTTTTGCCGTTAAACAATATATCACGTGACTAACCACGGGTCCGGGTAGTCCAGTAAGTATCCGGGTCCTACTCAGGAACCACCCGACCCCAGTACCCGATTTACCAGTTCCAGTCTTACTTTGATGCGTCTAATGCTTACACTAAAATACGTTTTCTGTACCCCGACTACTCAGACATCTGGAGACATCTTCCCGAAGCAAGAGAGTTAACTGACTTTAGAGTCCAGTTTCCACCCTTGCCGAACTGGGTTGTAATTCATGGGCTCGATCGTAGCGCCACCAGTGGCTTTTACGAGTCATGTCCCTTCTGAGCCTCGCCTATGGACCATTCAGATTCCACCTCTCGTATCACTTGCATTTGTATCAAACAAAATGGCGGCGCCCGGTCAAGACGATCTGATCGATAATCAAGTTCTATTGTGTGATAAAACGGGTCTTACGTCGCGAAGTGCATCAAATTGCGTGAGCACCTTGATTAAAAACATGACAACGAGTTGGCGGTGTACATGTTTTGCAAATCCTGCAATCGACCGAAATCTACACGACAGTTTACTGACCGGATTTCGATTTCGTTGCGCGATTTTGATTTGACTATGCAGAGACTCGTTAGTCCAGCCAAAATGTAACTCCATAATACCAGCCTAGTTCGGCAAGGGTGGAAACTGGAGTTTTATAGTCAGTTAACTCTCTTGCCTCGGGAAGATGTCTGGAGATGGTCAAGTCTCCAAGTGAGCTATGTGCATCGCAATCAGGCCGCAAAGTGTCAGGTCGGGAATCATTGACCCAGCATATATACCGAGGCAAGACTAAACGGCGAGCCGGTGGCGATGACGACGACGGTGGCGAAGATGATGGTCATTAACCACGCCGTTGTAATACATGCAACTAAATTTCAGTTGGTTCAATGTATAAACATTCAACTTTAATCAGTAGTACAAACAGTCAACCAAATCGATTAAATCAATGTTTCCACGTAGGTTATCACGTCCTATAGGTTGACAGTCGACCTACAGCGACTACAGGGGCTGACAGCACCTGGCTGTGAACGTGCAACACCGCCACGATAACAACTCATCCCGGATATGTCTATTTATGTCAGTGGCATAGGAAATCAACTGAGGGTCTGGCGATATCGAGGTTGGGATCACTCGTATATATTCAGTGGCGACTGATCAGTTGAAGATCTGGGCCTCGTTTCACTAAACGCTACGGCTGTCGGAACTCCCTTTCTTGTATCCAATCCGTTTCACTATGGTGAATAAATATGTTTAAAACAAAACTACCTTTCTCAGACAGCTTAAGCGTGGCAGAAAAAAACAAACAGGTTGCACAAACGTTGTGTCACACACCAGGCAAACACATATCACAGGTGACGCTTTGACCTTGACGCTGTACTAAACCCCGACGTCACGCGAGGATCGTTGTGCGAGGTCGGGTCGGGTCCGCGTCTATACGTCGATCCTTGTGAGGGGTGGATGTCCCGCTTCTCGAGTCTGGTTCACCCTCACAGTCGTCGCCTTGGTAACGTTGCCATAGAGACGTTCCGTGATGGCTTCCATTTCTTCTTTGCTCACCTGCTTCTCACCTTGACCTTGTGGATTCTGGTCGTCCTTGTCCTCTTTTCTTGACCTTGGTTGATGAAGCCGTTCAACAATGTCGTCAACTTCGTGGCGGGAAAGGATACGAAAGGCCGGGGCACGAGGCACGAGGCAGTGGTAGTCCGCCCTATACTCGGATACCCGGAGGACGTAGTCCTTGAGGTACTGGTTGTCCTTCTGTTGCCGGAGCTGGTCCATGTTCGGGTACTCCTTGGAGTGACGGTACGCCATGTTCATCGGTCTGCCACTGTAGATGTGCCGAATGTTGCTGTCCAGGATAGTTTGGAAGGTCAAGCTAAACGCCATTGTTGCAGGAGATGGAAGAGGTGGTGGTGGAGTCTGTGTAGCCGATGTTCCCTGACCTAATCGTGTGACAGTCTGGAACAGCGATATGACAGATTTTAGTGAGATGGATTTGGATTCAGTGAAGGGGGCTTTGAGTTGTAGTCAGTGAAAATGGGAATTTAACGCGACACTCAAAGTAACACACCTACACTACGTCAACGTGACGTCGCCACATCTCCGTTACGAAGACATACAATGTGACGGCGGCACCACACCAACACTACGGTGACAGCGTAACAAACAACACACATACGGCAACACACAAAAGTGACGACGTCACTACACCTACACTACGGCAACACCCAAAAGTAACGACGTCACCACACCTACACTACGGCAACACACAAAGGTGAAGACGTCACTATGCCTACACTGCGGCAACACACAAAGTGACGACGTCACTACACCTACACTACGGCAACACACAAAAGTGACGACGTCACCACACCTACACTACGGCAACATACAAAAGTGACGACGTCACCACACCGACACTACGGCAACACACAAAAGTGACAGCGTCACCACACTCACTCTACGGCGACACACACCGTCTACGCCATCTACGACCTACCTGTAGCAGAGAAAGTTTCCAACACTATCAGCTTTAAATTTTGGCCGCACTACCGACACCTCACATGGAATGGCCCAAACTTCTCGTGGGATCACCCATGGCGACAAGTATGGATTATTTGTGACGAATTTGTAGCGGATTGTGTGCATTGGGTCAGCTGTTACAACAAAAGTGAACGTGAACAGATAAATACCAAATACATACCCGTTTAAGATGTGATTTGATTGCTGTCCGTCACAGGAAGAAAACTTTTGTGTGTTGCTGCTGTGTTTTCAAATTATTTCTGGATCATCTGAGGAAACGGTTACCTAGGCAACTCAGCACGCTACTACAGCAGTGTTCAGTTCCTCGCGTCTGTGTGGTTTGCTTCACACGCCTCTGGAACAATACAGCGTTGTCATCTGAGCCTTTGCGTGTTGGATCTCGTGCTGGATCAGGTCCTGGATCTCGCCCTCCTCTACTGGAACAAGCAGACGACAAAGTGGCAGATGACTCGGGTTTCCAAATACAGTCCTCGTATGTGGCGTCCGCGTCCGTTGGTCTCAGCAATCTCATTGACTAAGCCGCGAAGCTTTGGGATTAACGTGGGATTAACTTCATGCGTCTGTGATGAAGTAACTCTTGTTTCCTTAAACTGGTCGTTTACGTCCGATATACTTAAAACGAGAAAGTCAGTATTCTGTAAGTGTTTCAGAGTAACTTAGGGGTTGATATAGGTAACATTGTCCTGGTTGTTGAAGCCGATGGCCCGTGAACACCTCCTCTGCGCCGTGGAACACTAATCACTACAGGCTGCTCGGCTGTTGCTCCCTTGCATTGGAGAGGTATACATAGGATATAGATTTGGTAATCCTGATATCATCTACACTTCACTGACCCCCACACAGGCCTACTCGGGGATTATGGCGAGATTTGGGGGATTATCAATGCGGCGACAATCAGAAGGGATTATCCAACCAGAGCGATTTAAGCCGCATCACATCACTTTCGGCTCCCTGCTCAGATCAGGCGAATGTTACGCCAGAATGGCTGGGCGTAGGGGTAGCAGGGGCGAGATATAGAGGGTGTGTAGCATGTACGGGTGTGGCAGGTCAGGGATAGCGGGGATAGGTGTAGCCGGGACAGAGAGTAGTGGAGGTGGATGTAGCGGGGACAGAGTGTAGCGGGGATACGTGTAGCGGGGACAGAGTGAAGCGGGGGTACGTGTAGCGGGGATAGGTGTAGCGGGGACGGAGTGTAGCGGGGTAGATGTAGCGGGGACAGAGTGTAGCGGGGGTACGTGTAGCGGGAATAGGTGTAGCGGGGACAGAGTGTAGCGGGGTAGATGTAACGGGGACAGAGTGTAGCGGGGATACGTGTAGCGGGGACAGTGTGTAGCGGGGATAGGTGTAGCGGGGACAAAGTGTAGCAGGGTAGTGGTAGCGGGGACAGAGTGTAGCGGGGGTACGTGTAGCGGGGATAGGTGTAGCGGGGACAGAGTGTAGCGGGGTAGTGGTAGCGGGGACAGAGTGTAGCGGGGTAGATGTAGCGGGGACAGAGTGTAGCGGGGGTACGTGTAGCGGGGATAGGTGTAGCGGGGACAGAGTGTAGCGTGGTAGATGTAGCGGGGACAGAGTGTAGCGGGGGTATGTGTAGCGGGGATAGGTGTAGCGGGGACAGAGTGTAGTGGGGGTAGATGTAGCGGGGACAGAGTGTAGCGGGGGTACGTGTAGCGGGGACAGAGTGTAGCGGGGATAGGTGTAGCGGGGACAGAGTGTAGCGGGGTAGTGGTAGCAGGGACAGAGTGTAGCGGGGTAGATGTAGCGGGGACAGAGTGTAGCGGGGTAGATGTAGCGGGGACAGAGTGTAGCGGGGGTAGATGTAGCGGGGACAGAGTGTAGCGGGGATAGGTGTAGCGGGGACAGAGTGTAGCGGGGTAGTGGTAGCGGGGACAGAGTGTAGCGGGGATAGGTGTAGCGGGGACAGAGTGTAGCGGGGTAGATGTAGCGGGGACAGAGTGTAGCGGGGATAGGTGTAGCGGGGACAGAGTGTAGCGGGGTAGTGGTAGCGGGGACAGAGTGTAGCGGGGTAGATGTAGCGGGGACAGAGTGTAGCGGGGATAGGTGTAGCGGGGACAGAGTGTAGCAGGGGCGAGATATAGAGGGTGTGTAGCATGTACGGGTGTGGCTGATCAGGGATAGCGGGGATAGGTGTAGCGGGGACAGAGTGTAGTGGGGGTAGATGTAGCGGGGGTACGTGCAGCGGGGATAGGTGTAGCGGGGATAGGTGTAGCGGGGATAGGTGTAGCGGGGACAGAGCGTAGCGGGGTAGTGGTAGCGGGGACAGAGTGTAGCGGGGTAGATGTAGCGGGGACAGAGTGTAGCGGGGTAGATGTAGCGGGGACAGAGTGTAGTGGGGGTAGATGTAGCGGGGACAGAGTGTAGCGGGGGTACGTGTAGCGGGGACAGAGTGTAGCGGGGATAGGTGTAGCGGGGACAGAGTGTAGCGGGGTAGTGGTAGCAGGGACAGAGTCTAGCGGGGTAGATGTAGCAGGGACAGAGTGTAGCGGGGTAGATGTAGCGGGGACAGAGTGTAGCGGAGGTAGATGTAGCGGGGATAGGTGTAGCGGGGACAGAGTGTAGCGGGGATAGGTGTAGCGGGGACAGAGTGTAGCGGGGATAGGTGTAGCGGGGACAGAGTGTAGTGGGGTAGTGGTAGCGGGGACAGAGTGTAGCCGGGATAGGTGTAGGGGGGACAGAGTGTAGCGGGGATAGGTGTAGCGGGGACAGAGTGTAGCGGGGTAGTGGTAGCGGGGACAGAGTGTAGCGGGGATAGGTGTAGCGGGGACAGAGTGTAGCGGGGATAGGTGTAGCGGGGACAGAGCGTAGCGGGGTAGATGTAGCGGGGACAGAGTGTAGCGGGGATAGGTGTAGCGGGGACAGAGTGTAGCGGGGGTAGATGTAGCGGGGGTACGTGCAGCGGGGATAGGTGTAGCGGGGATAGGTGTAGCTGGGACAGAGTGTAGTGGAGGTAGATGTAGCGGGGGTACGTGTAGCGGGGATAGGTGTAGCGGGGTAGATGTAGTGGGGACAGAGTGTAGCAGGGGGCAGTTGAAGCGGGGATAGGTGTAGCGGGGACAGAGTGTAGCGGGGTAGTGGTAGTCGGGACAGAGAGTAGCGGGGTAGATGTAGCGGGGACAGAGTGTAGCGGGGATACGTGTAGCGGGGATAGGTGTAGCGGGGACAGAGTGTAGCGGGGGAAAGGATATTGCGGGGCTACGGGTGTAGCGGGGACAGGTGTAAGGAGACAGTATGTGGCGGGGACAATGTGTAGTGGGGGCGGATGTGGCGGGGAAAGGATGTTAGGAGACAGGATGTAGCGGGGACAATGTGTAGTGGGGGCGGATTTGGCGGGGAAAGGATGTTAGGAGACAGGATGTAGCGGGGACAAGGTGTAGTGGGGGCGGATGTGGCGGGGAAAGGATGTTAGGAGACAGGATGTAGCGGGGACAATGTGTAGTGGCGGCGGATGTGGCGAGGAAAGGATGTTAGGAGACAGGATGTAGCGGGGACAAGGTGTAGTGGGGGCGGATGTGGCGGGGAAAGGATGTTAGGAGACAGGATGTAGCGGGGACAATGTGTAGTGGGGGCGGATTTGGCGGGGAAAGGATGTTAGGAGACAGGATGTAGCGGGGACAAGGTGTAGTGGCGGCGGATGTGGCGAGGAAAGGATGTTAGGAGACAGGATGTAGCGGGGACAAGGTGTAGTGGGGGCGGATGTGGCGGGGAAAGGATGTTAGGAGACAGGATGTAGCGGGGACAATGTGTAGTGGGGGCGGATTTGGCGGGGAAAGGATGTTAGGAGACAGGATGTAGCGGGGACAAGGTGTAGTGGCGGCGGATGTGGCGAGGAAAGGATGTTAGGAGACAGGATGTAGCGGGGACAAGGTGTAGTGGGGGCGGATGTGGCGGGGAAAGGATGTTAGGAGACAGGATGTAGCGGGGACAATGTGTAGTGGGGGCGGATGTGGCGGGGAAAGGATGTTAGGAGACAGGATGTAGCGGGGACAATGTGTAGTGGGGGCGGATGTGGCGGGGAAAGGATGTTAGGAGACAGGATGTAGCGGGGACAAGGTGTAGTTGGGGAGGATGTGGCGGGGAAAGGATGTTAGGAGACAGGATGTAGCGGGGACAATGTGTAGTGGCGGCGGATGTGGCGGGGAAAGGATGTTAGGAGACAGGATGTAGCGGGGACAATGTGTAGTGGGGGCGGATGTGGCGGGGAAAGGATGTTACGAGACAGGATGTAGCGGGGACAAGGTGTAGTGGGGGCGGATGTGGCGGGGAAAGGATGTTACGAGACAGGATGTAGCGGGGACAAGGTGTAGTGGGGGCGGATGTGGCGGGGAAAGGATGTTAGGAGACAGGATGTAGCGGGGACAATGTGTAGTGGGGGCGGATATAACGGGGGTACGTGTAGCGCGGGCAGGGTGTTTGAAGACAGGGTGTAGTAGGGGCGGGTGTGACGAGGAGAGGGTGAAGCGGGGACATGGTGTAGTGGGGGCGGGTGTGACGTGGGGAGGGTGAAGCGGGGACAGGGTGTAGTGGGGGCGGGTGTGACGTGGGGAGGGTGAAGCGGGGACAGGGTGTAGTGGGGGCGGGTGTGACGAGGAGAGGGTGTAGCGGGGACAGGGTGTTGTGGGCTTGATGTAGCGGAGACAGGGTATAGCAGGTACAGGTTATGTTGGGGACATGGTGTAGTTGGAGCGAGGGTCCGTGTAGCGGGGGAGGATGTGGCGGGGAAAGGCGTAGCGGGAGTAGCGGAGGTGGCGGGGACGGTGAGGGGGAGGCTGCCAACATGTCACGTGTCACTTAGGGTGCAATGCTACAAAAGCATGACGTCACGGGTACGGGTGGATCTGTAGATACCCGCTAATTGCTGATCTGCCTGATACTCGGCTTTGTTTACCCGAGACTCAAGGGTCATACTAACTGATAATCAGCGTTCCTGGCATTGTTTTCAGGAAATATTTTCTTTCATTTGTCTGACAGTGTGACTGACTGAAGACAATACACGACCAGCACAACACCCTGCCCAGAGTGTTTGCTTGTTGTTTAACGCCGCACTTAGCACTATTCCAGCTATATGACGTCGGCCTGTAAATAAACGAGTTTGGACCTGACAATCCAGTGACTGAAACCATGAGCATCGATCCACGCAATTGAGATACGATGACATGCATCAACCAAGTCAGCGAGCCTGACCACCCGATCCCGTTAGTCGGCTCTTACGCCACACATAGTCATCTCCTGTCCTGAGTTGGTTGGTTTGTTGTTTAACGCCACACTCAGCAATATTCCAGCTATATGACGGCGGTCTGTAAATAATCGAGTCTGGACCAGATAATCCAGTGATTAATATCATGAGCATCGATCCACGCACTTGGGATATGATGACATGCATCAACCAAGTCAGCTAGCCTGACCACCCGATCCCGTTAGTCGTCTTTTACGACAAGCATAGTCGCCTTTTACGGCAAGTATGGGTTGCGAAAGACCTATTCTATCCCGGATCTTTACGAGTGAGTGAATGTTGTTATATGCAGCAGTGAAGCTGTTCCTGCTGTAGCACGTGTTGCCTGTGACACGTGTTGTCTGTGACGCTTGTGTTGTCTGTGATACGTTTGTTATCTGTGACGCTTGTGTTGTCTGTGATATTTGTGTTGTCTGTGATATTTGTGTTGTCTGTGATACTTGTGTTGTCTGTGACGTTTGTGTTGTCTGTGATACTTCTGTTGTCTGTAATGTTTGTGTTGTCTGTGACGCTTGTGTTGTCTGTGATGCTTCTGTTGTCTGTGATACTTGTGTTGTCTGTGATACTTGTGTTGTCTGTGACGCTTGTGTTGTCTGTGATATTTGTGTTGTCTGTGATACTTGTGTTGTCTGTGGTACTTGTGTTGTCTGTGATACTTGTGTTGTCTGTGATACTTGTGTTGATGTAATGTTTGTGTTGTCTGTGATACTTGTGTTATCTGCGATACTTGTGTTGTCTGTGACGCTTGTGTTGTCTGTGATGCTTCTGTTGTCTGTGATATTTGTGTTGTCTGCAATGCTTGTGTTGTCTGTGATATTTGTGTTGTCTGTGACGTTTGAGACGCACGTGATGCTGTGACATTTGTGACGTCTGACGTTTGTGATGTTATAGATGCCTGTTCCGTTTGAGACGCACGTGATGCTGTAACATTTGTGACGTCTGACTTTTGTGATACCTGTGATGTTTGTGTTGTCTGTGATACTTGTGTTGTCTGTGATACTTGTTTTGTCTGTGATATTTGTGTTGTCTGTGATGCTTGTGTTGTCTGTGATACTTGTGTTGTCTGTGGTACTTGTGTTGTCTGCGATACCTGTGTTGTCTGTGATACTTGTGTTGTCTGTGATGCTTGTGTTGTCTGTGATATTTGTTGTCAGCAATGCTTGTGTTGTCTGTGATACTTGTGTTGTCTGTGATACTTGTTTTGTCTGTGATATTTGTGTTGTCTGTGATGCTTGTGTTGTCTGTGATACTTGTGTTGTCTGTGGTACTTGTGTTGTCTGTGATACCTGTGTTGTCTGTGATACTTGTGTTGTCTGTGATGCTTGTGTTGTCTGTGATATTTGTTGTCAGCAATGCTTGTGTTGTCTGTGATATTTGTGTTGTCTGTGACACTTGTATTGTGTGTGACGTTTGAGATGCCTGTTCCGTTTGAGACGCACGTGATGCTGTGACATTTGTGACGTCTGACGTTTGTGATGCATGTGATGTTTGAGACGCACGTGATGCTGTGACATTTGTGATGCCTGTTCCGTTTGAGACGCACGTGATGCTGTGACATTTGTGACGTTTGTGATGCCTGTAATGTTAGAGACGCACGTGATGCTGTGACATTTTTTATGCCTGTGATTTTTTAGATGCCTGTTCCGTTTATGACGCACGTGATGCTGTGACATTTGTGACGTCTGACGTTTGTGATGCCTGTGATGTTTGAGATGCCTGTTCCGTTTGAGACACACGTGATGCTGTGACATTTTTGATGCCTGTGATTTTTTAGATGCCTGTTCCGTTTGAGACGCACGTGATGCTGTGACATTTGTGACGTCTGACGTTTGTGATGTTTGAGATGCCTGTTCCGTTTGAGACACACGTGATGCTGTAACATTTGTGACGTCTGATGTTTGTGACGCCTGTGATGTTTGAGATGCCTGTTCTGTTTGAGACACACATGGTGCTGTGACATTTGTGACGTCTGACGTTTGTGATGCCTGTGATGTTTGAGATGCCTGTTCCGTTTGAGACACACGTGATGCTGTAACATTTGTGACGTCTGATGTTTGTGACGCCTGTGATGTTTGAGATGCCTGTTCTGTTTGAGACACACATGGTGCTGTGACATTTGTGACGTCTGACGTTTGTGATGCCTGTGATGTTTGAGATGCCTGTTCTGTTTGAGACGCACGTGGTGCTGTGACGTTTATGATGCCTGTGATGTTTGAGATGCCTGTTCCGTTTGAGACGCACGTGATGCTGTGACATTTGTGATGCCTGTGATGTTTGAGATGCCTGTTCCGTTTAAGACGCACGTGATGCTGTGACATTTGTGATGCCTGTGATGTTTGAGATGCCTGTTCCGTTTAAGACGCACGTGATGCTGTGACATTTGTGATGCCTGTGATGTTTGAGATGCCTGTTCCGTTTAAGACGCACGTGATGCTGTGACATTTGTGATGCCTGACGTTTATGATGCCTATTATGTTATGATGCGTTGGTGAGATGAAACAACAATTTTGCGCAAACCATTGACATCTTTCAAAGTAAGTTCAAACATATACATGTCACTTGTTGAACACAACATGCAGCAAACCTAGCTGTATTTCCTGGAACTGTCAAAAGTTGTCTTGACAGCCACAGTTCATGTGTGTATTGTTCTATACCTAAAAAGACTGCAAAAAATATCAACAAAATAACTAAAAGCGCCATTATTTTATTCATAAACAATAGTAACAATTACATCAACAAAATAACTAGAAGCACCATTATAAAATCTAAAGATGTCGTCTGACTACTGTACACATAAGCATGGTAACATATCAGCATGATATCTATGTAGACATTCTGACATGAGGCTATCTTGAGTCGTGAGCTGGCAGGCTATAGAACAACCATTACCAGACAGTGCTGAACAGAGAGTACTGAACAGAGAGTACTGAACAGTCAGTACTGACCAGACAGTGTTGAACAGACAGTACTGAACAGATAGTACTGAACAGACAGTGCTGAACAGACAGTACTGAACAGTGTTGAACAGACAGTACTGAACAGACAGTGCTGAACAGATAGTACTGAACAGAAAGTACTGAACAGACAGTGTTGAACAGGCAGTACTGAACAGATAGTACTGAACAGACAGTGTTGAACAGATAGTACTGAACAGACAGTGCTGAACAGACAGTGCTGAACAGGAAGTGCTGAACAGACAGTACTGAACAGACAGTACTGAACAGACAGAAGAGACAGTGTTGAACAGACAGTGTTGAACAGATAGTACTGAACAGACAGTGTTGAACAGATAGTACTGAACAGACAGTGCTGAACAGACAGTGCTGAACAGACAGTGTTGAACAGACAGTACTGAACAGTGTTGAACAGGCAGTACTGAACAGACAGTACTGAACAGACAGAAGAGACAGTGTTGAACAGACAGTGTTGAACAGATAGTACTGAACAGACAGTGCTGAACAGACAGTGCTGAACAGATAATACTGAACAGACAGTACTGAACAGACAGTACTGAACAGACAGTGCTGAACAGACAGTGCTGAACAGATAGTACTGAACAGACAGTACTGAACAGACAGTGTTGAACAGACAGTACTGAACAGACAGTGTTGAACAGACAGTGCTGAACAGATAGTACTGAACAGACAGTGTTGAACAGATAGTACTGAACAGACAGTACTGAACAGACAGTGCTGAACAGACAGTACTGAACAGTGTTGAACAGACAGTACTGAACAGACAGTGTTGAACAGGCAGTACTGAACAGACAGTACTGAACAGACAGAAGAGACAGTGTTGAACAGACAGTGTTGAACAGATAGTACTGAACAGACAGTGCTGAACAGATAGTACTGAACAGACAGTACTGAACAGACAGTGTTGGACAGGCAGTACTGAACAGACAGTACTGAACAGACAGTGTTGAACTGGCAATACTGAACAGTCTGTGTTGAACAAACAGTACTGAACAGACAGTACTGAACAGACAGTGCTGAACAGACAGAAGAGACAGTGTTCAACAGATGGTGCTGAACACACATTTCCTTACCCTCTATTGAATGGTCTATCCGTGGGGGTTTGGCTGGGTGTACATAAAAAACCTTGAAAATCTGGATAATACTGTTTCCAGTTAAACTGTCTGGATAAACTTATCAGAGGTACTAATCCCTTTGTATATACGGATACATCCACAGAAACAATCATCTTTTGGGAAGCAGATTAACAAGGTTTCATTGTGCAGAAAATAAGATCCTTCACCTTGAATAGTTGCATCAGTTGTGATTACAAGACTAACACGATTCTAGGACACACAGTGAGTAGCCTGGGATATACATCAAGCAGTATCAATGTAGGAGAAAATACATGATGACTTATGTGACAGTTCATGGGTATTGTCGTGACACTGACAGCAGCTGTAATGTCACTGTAATGTCGTGACACTGACAGCAGCTGTAATGTCACTGTAATGTCGTGACACTGACAGCAGCTGCAATGTCACTGTATTGTCGTGACACACACAACAGTTGCAATGTCACTGTATTGTCGTGACACAACAGCTGCAATGTCACTGTAATGTCGTGACTCTCACAGCAGCCGTAATGTCACTGTAATGTCGTGACTCTCACAGGGGCTGTAATGTCACTGTAATGTTGTAACACTCACAACAGCTGTAATGTCACTGTAATGTCGTGACTCTCACAGGGGCTGTAATGTCACTGAAATGTCGTGACTCTCACAGGGGCTGCAATGTCACTGTAATGTTGTGACTCTCACAGCAGCTGCAATGTCACTGTAATGTTGTGACTCTCACAGGGGCTGCAATGTCACTGTAATGTCGTGACTCTCACAGCAGCTGCAATGTCACTGTAATGTTGTGACTCTCACAACAGCTGTAATGTCACTGTAATGTCGTGACTCTCACAGGGGCTGTAATGTCACTGAAATGTCGTGACTCTCACAGCAGCTGCAATGTCACTGTAATGTCGTGACTCTCACAGCAGCTGCAATGTCGTGACTCTCACAGCAGCTGCAATGTCACTAATGTCATGACTCACAGCGACTGTAACGTTACTGTATTGTGACACTCACAGGGGCTGTAATGTCACTGCAATGTTGTGACTCTCACAGCAGTTGCAATGTCGTGACTCTCACAGCAGCTGCAATGTCGTGACTCTCAAAGCAGCTGCAATGTCATGACTCTCAAAGCAGCTGCAATGTCGTGACTCTCACAGCAGCTGCAATGTTGTGACTCTCAAAGCAGCTGCAATGTCGTGACTCTCACAGGGGCTGTAATGTCACTGTAATGTCGTGACTCTCACAGAGGCTGCAATGTCGTGACTCTCAAAGCAGCTGCAATGTCGTGACTCTCACAGCAGCTGCAATGTCACTGAAATGTCGTGACTCTCACAGTAGCTGTAATGTCACTGCAATGTCGTGACTCACAGCAGCTGCAATGTCACTGTAATGTTGTCATTCTCACAGTGGATGTAACGTTACTGTAACATTGTGACAGTGACTAGAGTTTCAGCACAATGTTTCCCTGGGCACTCTTGGTGTTCATGATAAGTTCATGAGTCTCGGCCGCCTTTTCTAGAGGAAACTCCTTCCCCACGACTGGTCGCAGCCAGCCCTGGGACATCCCTGACTCCATTGCTGCGTGCATCTCCTTCCAGTCAGCCTGAAACAATTTGAGTGAGTGAGTGAGTGAGTGTTTGAGTAGATGAGTGGATGAGTGGGTGTTGAGTGGATGAGTGAGTGAGTGAGTGAGTGGGGTATTTGGGCGAGTTGTTGGCAGTGAGTGAGTGGTTGAGTGAGCAAGTGATTGGTTGGTTGAGATAGTGAGTGGGTGAGTGAGTGTGTGGTTGAGTGGGTTGGTAAGTGAGTGAGTTGTTGTTTGGTTGAGTGGGTGAGTGAGTGAGTTGTTGTTTGGTTGAGTGGGTGAGTGAGTGAGTTGTTGTTTGGTTGAGTGGGTGAGTGTTGGGTGGCTGGATGACTGGTTGAGTGGTTGAATGATGGTTTCACCGAAATAGTTAATATCTGAGAACAGAATCACTTCTGAGACACCATGATCTAAATGACTCCCTTGCTGTGAGAGTGGGATGGCACACCACATCCAGTGATGATGATCAACACCTAGAAAGTTTGAAGGTGTTTGGGTAAACTAACAGTAAACACGAAACAACAAAGATTCTTAATCGGATGGTCAGGCTCTCAGACTAGGTTGATGCCTTTCATCGTATCCCAAAAGCATGATGTCAATCACTGGAATGTCTGGACCAGACTCAATTACTTACAGCTTGCCGTCACATAGCTGTGGAATATTGCTGAGTGCAGCGTTAAACAACAAACAAACAACATGAAACATGAAAACTGAAAACATACTTTCAACAACATTCAAATTGCCAACCAACAAAATACATGGACACAATCAGCCAGGTGTCAGACTACTGACAGCCATCCTCGTGCCGGGTCTGACAACACACATGGACACAATCAGCCAGGTGTCAGACTACTGACAGCCATCCTCGTGCTGGGTCTGACAACACACATGGACACAATCAGCCAGGTGTCAGACTACTGACAGCCATCCTTGTGCCGGGTCTGACAACACACATGGACACAATCAGCCAGGTATCAGACTACTGACAGCCATCCTCGTGCTGGGTCTGACAACACACATGGACACAATCAGCCAGGTATCAGACTACTGACAGTCATCCTTGTGCCGGGTCTGACAACACACATGGACACAATCAGCCAGGTGTCAGACTACTGACAGCCATCCTCGTGCTGGGTCTGACAACACACATGGACACAATCAGCCAGGTGTCAGACTACTGACAGCCATCCTCGTGCTGGGTCTGACAACACACATGGACACAATCAGCCAGGTGTCAGACTACTGACAGCCATCCTCGTGCTGGGTCTGACAACACACATGGACACAATCAGCCAGGTGTCAGACTATGGACAGCCATCCTCGTGCTGGGTCTGACAACACACATGGACACAATCAGCCAGGTATCAGACTACTGACAGCCATCCTCGTGCTGGGTCTGACAACACACATGGACACAATCAGCCCGGTGTCAGACTACTGACAGCCATCCTCGTGCTGGGTCTGACAACACACATGGACACAATCAGCCAGGTGTCAGACTATGGACAGCCATCCTCTTGCCGGGTCTGACAACACACATGGACACAATCAGCCAGGTGTCAGACTATGGACAGCCATCCTCGTGCTGGGTCTGACAACACACATGGACACAATCAGCCAGGTGTCAGACTATGGACAGCCATCCTCGTGCTGGGTCTGACAACACACATGGACACAATCAGCCAGGTGTCAGACTATGGACAGCCATCCTCGTGCTGGGTCTGACAACACACATGGACACAGTCAGCCAGGTGTCAGACTACTGACAGCCATCCTCGTGCTGGGTCTGACAACACACATGGACACAATCAGCCAGGTGTCAGACTATGGACAGCCATCCTCGTGCTGAGTCTGACTTCACACATGGACACAATCAGCCAGGTGTCAGACTATGGACAGCCATCCTCGTGCTGGGTCTGACATCACACCTGGACACAATCAGCCAGGTGTCAGACTATGGACTGCCATCCTCGTGCCGGGTCTGACATCACACATGGACACAATCAGCCAGGTGTCAGACTATGGACAGCCATCCTCTTTCTGGGTCTGACATCACACATGGACACAATCAGCCAGGTGTCAGACTATGGACAGCCATCCTTGTGCCGGGTCTGACAACACACATGGACACAGTCAGCCAGGTGTCAGACTATGGACAGTCATCCTTGTGCCGGGTCTGACAACACACATGGACACAGTCAGCCAGGTGTCAGACTATGGACAGTCATCCTTGTGCCGGGTCTGACAACACACATGGACACAGTCAGCCAGGTGTCAGACTATGGACAGTCATCCTTGTGCCGGGTCTGACAACACACATGGACACAGTCAGCCAGGTGTCAGACTATGGACAGCCATCCTTGTGCCGGGTCTGACAACACACATGGACACAGTCAGCCAGGTGTCAGACTATGGACAGTCATCCTTGTGCCGGGTCTGACAACACACATGGACACAGTCAGCCAGGTGTCAGACTATGGACAGTCATCCTTGTGCCGGGTCTGACATCACACATGGACACAGTCAGCCAGGTGTCAGACTATGGACAGCCATCCTTGTGCCGGGTCTGACAACACACATGGACACAGTCAGCCAGGTGTCAGACTATGGACAGTCATCCTCGTGCCGGGTCTGACAACACACATGGAAATTGTCAGCATTGACCAACACCCCTCTGTACAGTGTCACCCACAGGGCAACACCCTCACAAAATACTGCTATCAGTCTCTTCACTAAAAGACCAGAAGAAATGTCTTGAATGTTCTCCAGCAAATAGTTTGGGAAATACTTACATCCCCTGATATCATCAGCATGACGCCTGTGATGGTGCACTCCTTCCCCATTGTGGCGCGTGGGTTGATCTCTGTTGGTCCACGGGAGCCGATGTTCTGCAGACATAAGGTATTACAAGCTAGAGCTATCAGTTACATGAGGTGAGGTCCGGACTAATGCCTATTTCATAGTGCTAGCCTACTGGGGATACGACTGGAGGTGTCTAGAGTTAAGTGTCAAGAACAGAGGTGTCTGGAGTGGAGGTGTCCAGAACAAAGGTTTTAAGAACAGAGGCGTCTGGAGCAAAGGTGTCACAAACAGACGTGTCGGGAGTGGAAGTGTCAAGAACAGAGGTGTCTAGAGGGAAGGTGTCAAGAACAGACATGTCGGGAGTGGAAGTGTCAAGAACAGAGGTGTCTGGAGCGGAAGTGTCAAGAACAGAGGCGTCTAGAGCGAAGGTGTCAAGAACAGACGCATCGGGAGCTGAAGTGTCAAGAACAGAGGCGTCTAGAGCGAAGGTGTCAAGAACAGATGTGTCTGGATTCAATCTCATTAAAATCAGATCTTTGTTCTCGCTTCCGCTAAACAAAGATCTGAAGACATCACATTACGGGTCATGTCAAGCTGATCTTGCACAAACTTTGACCGACCAATGGAATGACCAATTAGAAGGCAGCTTTCTCATGCTTTACGGCACCAATTTCAAATTGGCGACTACGCTTCAAAACATATTTTGACAAATTCTCGATTAAAAATTTGAAACCTGAATAATAAAACCATACTGGAATGGCTAATAGATGGTCTAGATTGTAAGGATTCAGTCGTTTAACCCGTAACTATCGTTCGGAATACACCATGTTAAAGTTTTTGAGATTGCATGACTAGAAATCACATTCCGACTGTCACTTTCATAATCTGGTAAGCGATGCACTGATTGGTCGGATGAAAGGTCGTTCTGACGTGACCCCTAATGGGATGTCTTCAGATCTTTGTTTAGCGGTAGCGAGAACTAAGGTCTTATTTTAATGAGATTGGTCTGGATTGGAAGTGTCAAGAACAAAGGTGTCTGAAGTGGAGGTGTCCAGAACAGAGGTGTCCAGAACAGAGACGTCTGGAGCAAAGGTGTCAAGAACAGACACGTCGGGAGTGGAAGAGTCGAGAACAGAGGTGTCTGGAGTGGAGGTGTCTTGTGTGGAGGTGTCTAGAACAGACGCATCAGGAGTGGAAGTGTCCAGAACAGAGTCGTCTAGAGCGAAGGTGTCAAGAACAGATGCGTCCGGAGTGGAAGTGTCAAGAACAGAGGTGTCTGGAGTGGAAGTGTCCAGAACAGAGGCGTCTAGAGCGAAGGTGTCAAGAACAGACGTGTCGGGAGTGGAAGTGTCGAGAACAGAGGTGTCTGGAGTGGAAGTGTCCAGAACAGAGGCGTCTAGAGCGAAGGTGTCAAGAACAGACACGTCGGGAGTGGAAGTGTCGAGAACAGAGGTGTCTGGAGTGGAAGTGTCTTGTGTGGAGGTGTCTAGAACAGACGCGTCGGGAGTGGAAGTGTCCAGAACAGAGTCGTCTAGAGCGAAGGTGTCAAGAACAGACGCGTCGGGAGTGGAAGTGTCAAGAACAGATGTGTCTTGTGTGGAGGTGTCTAGAACAGAAGCGTCTGGGGTGGAGGTGTTCAGAACAGAGGCGTCTGGAGCAAAGTTGTCAAGAACAGACGCGTCGGGAGTGGAAGTGTCGAGAACAGAGAAATGTGTCCAGAGGAGACCAGATGTGTCTATAGGAGATAGAGGAAAGATGTCTAGAGCTGAGATTTCGGAGCCTAACAGCATTGCCAGTCACACGAGCAATGATAACAGTCTTACCACAATCCGCCCACGTAACTTGATCATGCCGAGGTCCTTTTCCAGGTTTATGTTGGCCAACATCTCCAGGATGACATCCGGCCCCTCCCCTCCCGTTGCATCCTGGGAAACACACAACATCAACCTTCATGAATTACTTCAGTCAGTCTTGTACAGTACAATGTCAGTCTTGTTAGTACAATGTCAATCTTGTTAGTACAATGTCAGTCTTGCACAATACAATGTCAGAGTCTTGTACAGTACAATGTCAGTCTTGTTAGTACAATGTCAGTCTTGTACAGTACAATGTCAGAGTCTTGTACAGTACAATGTCAGTCGTGTTAGTACAGCGTCAGTCTTGTTAGTACAATGTCAGTCTTGTACAGTACAATGTCAGAGTTGTGTACAATACAATGGCAGTCTTGTATAGTTCAATGCTAGGCTTGTACAGTACAATGTCACAGTCTTGTACAGTACAATGTCAGTCTTGTACAGTAAAATGTCAGTCCTAGAAAAAAACAATGTCAGAGTCTTGTACAATTCAATGTCAGTCTTGTACAGTACATTGTCAGTCTTGTTAGTACAATGTCAGTCTTGTACAGTACATTGTCAGTCTTGTTAGTACAATGTCAGTCTTGTACAGTACATTGTCAGTCTTGTTAGTACAATGTCAGTCTTGTACAGTACATTGTCAGTCTTGTTAGTACAATGTCAGTCTTGTACAGTACATTGTCAGTCTTGTTAGTACAATGTCAGTCTTGTACAGAAAAATGTCTATCTTGGACAGGACAATGTCAGTCTACATTAGTCTTGTATAGTACAATGTCAGTCTTGTACAATACAATGTACATGTAAGTCCAACTCACCATGATCTTCTGAATGTAGCCCTCCTCGCGATGGTTGAACACCACATCAGCTCCATTCTTCTTGATGGCCTCCATACCTTCTGCACTCCCTGCCGTGCCGAGAACACGGATGCCCCTCGACTTGGCGATCTGGACGGCCGCAGAACCCACCTGGCATCACGAGAAAGTGAGTGAGAGAGTTATGGGGCAGTGAGTGATGTGTGGGTTTTTCAGGACGGTTGGTTTGTGAGTGAGTTGGGTTTAACGCTTTTAACAGTATTCCAATTATATCGCGGCATGTCAGCTTAATGTGGGAGGAAAGCCTGAAGTGATGCAGGTCTCAGACATTTACCACCTTCAGTGAAACCCACGAGCACGGGTATGGGGCTGACAAACCTAGAAACATAATCCGGGTGAACCGGGATTCGAACCCACAATCATAGGTTTCTGGCGCACCCAAGGGATGCAACTCTGCACAGCGAACCGTGGCGCCTTATACGACTGGGCCATCTGGGCCCCCGTTGGTTTGTGAGTAAGTAAGTGAGGGTGTTGGTTTTGATTGAGTCATGAGTTGGTGGGCGAGTTGAGTGAGGCGAGTGAGTGAGTTCGATTTTGACCAGTATTCCCGTTATATCAGCCTGATGTGGAAAGCCCAAAGTGACACAGGGCGCCCATGATTACTTGTATGGCAAAATCAACAAATATGGGCGCTGACAAACTAAAGATCCTATTCAGTTCCCTATTGCCTGAACCTTGCAGATCATGTACTCACCCCTCCACTGGCGCCATGCACAAGGACGGTCTCCCCGGGACGGGCGCCGCCTCTGTAGAGGGCAAAACAACAGCACATGTAGGTGTCATTCTTACTCAAGTAATAGATTTCTAGTGCAATACATGTAGACTTTGTCATGGTGGGATATTGCTGTTCACCTCGGTGTGAGAGTTCTGTAAACTGTTCACCTCGGTGTGAGAGTTCTGTAAACTGTTCACCTCGGTGTGAGAGTTCTGTAAGCTGTTCACCTCGGTGTGAGAGTTCTGTAAACTGTTCACCTCGGTGTGAGAGTTCTGTAAACTGTTCACCTCGGTGTGAGAGTTCTGTAAACTGTTCACCTCGGTGTGAGAGTTCTGTAAGCTGTTCACCTCGGTGTGAGAGTTCTGTAAACTGTTCACCTCGGTGTGAGAGTTCTGTAAACTGTTCACCTCGGTGTGAGAGTTCTGTAAGCTGTTCACCTCGGTGTGAGAGTTCTGTAAACTGTTCACCTCGGTGTGAGAGTTCTGTAAGCTGTTCACCTCGGTGTGAGAGTTCTGTAAACTGTCCTCGGTGTGAGAGTTCTGTAAGCTGTCCTCGGTGTGAGAGTTCTGTAAGCTGTCCTCGGTGTGAGAGTTCTGAAAGCTGCTTATCCTGGTATGAGTATGCTGTCAACTGTTTACCTCAGTATGAGTGCTCTGTAAGCTGTTTATCCTGGTATGAGTATGCTGTCAACTGTTTACCTCAGTATGAGTGCTCTGTAAGCTGTTTATCCTAGTATGAGTGTGCTGTCAACTGTTTACCTCAGTATGAGTGCTCTGTAAGCTGTTTATCCTGGTATGAGTGTGCTGTCAACTGTTTATCTCAGTATGAGTGCTCTGTAAGCTGTTTATCCTAGTATGTGTGTGCTGTCAACTGTTTACCTCAGTATGAGTGCTCTGTAAGCTGTTTATCCTAGTATTTGTGTGCTGTCAACTGTTTACCTCAGTATGAGTGCTCTGTAAGCTGTTTATCCTGGTATGTGTGTGCTGTCAACTTTTTACCTCAGTATGAGTGCTCTGTAAGCTGTTTATCCTGGTATGAGTGTGCTGTCAACTGTTTACCTCAGTATGAGTGCTCTGTAAGCTGTTTATCCTCGTATGAGTGTGCTGTCAACTGTTTACCTCAGTATGAGTGCTCTGGAAGCTGTTTATCCTAGTATGAGTTTGCTGTCAACTGTTTTCCTCAGTATGAGTGCTCTGTAAGCTGTTTATCCTGGTATGAGTGTGCTGTCAACTGTTAACCTCAGTATGAGTGCTCTGTAAGCTGTTTATCCTAGTATGAGTGTGCTGTCAACTGTTTACCTCAGTATGAGTGCTCTGTAAGCTGTTTATCCTAGTATGAGTGTGCTGTCAACTGTTTACCTCAGTATGAGTGCTCTGTAAGCTGTTTATCCTGGTATGTGTGTGCTGTCAACTGTTTACCTCAGTATGAGTGCTCTGTAAGCTGTTTATCCTAGTATGAGTGTGCTGTCAACTGTTTACCTCAGTATGAGTGCTCTGTAAGATGTTTATCCTGGTATGAGTGTGCTGTCAACTGTTTACCTCAGTATGAGTGCTCTGTAAGCTGTTTATCCTAGTATGAGTGTGCTGTCAACTGTTTACCTTAGTATGAGTGCCCTGTAAGCTGTTTATCCTAGTATGTGTGTGCTGTCAACTGTTTACCTCAGTATGAGTGCTCTGTAAGCTGTTTATCCTAGTATTTGTGTGCTGTCAACTGTTTACCTCAGTATGAGTGCTCTGTAAGCTGTTTATCCTAGTATGTGTGTGCTGTCAACTTTTTACCTCAGTATGAGTGCTCTGTAAGCTGTTTATCCTGGTATGAGTGTGCTGTCAACTGTTTACCTCAGTATGAGTGCTCTGTAAGCTGTTTATCCTAGTATGAGTGTGCTGTCAACTGTTTGCCTCAGTATGAGTGCTCTGTAAGCTGTTTATCCTAGTATGAGTGTGCTGTCAACTGTTTACCTCAGTATGAGTGCCCTGTAAGCTGTGTAGTAGGGGACTCCGATTCCAGCACCCTGTTCAAATGTGATAGCATCGCCAAGATGACCGATGTACTTTTCCTCGACTGTGGCGAACTCAGCATAAGCTCCCGTTGATGTCCGCATGGAGTACACACGATCGCCCTTCTGTAACCATACAAACAAGTGCATTGTGAGTCGTACTGAACACACAGATACATGCAGCCATTGTAACCCACACTCACCCCATCCTTTGGGAACTATTGGGAATCACTCAAAACACAGGAAAAATAATCACGCGTCAAGTACAAAACTAACTTATGATCCATTAATGTCTTCCTCAAGGTTTCGCCTTGCATACAAAACTCGGGTCCAGAATTAAGATGGTGTAGTGTAGTGTAGTGTAGTGTAGTGTAGTGTAGTGTAGTGTAGTGTAGTGTAGTGTAGTGTAGTGTAGTGTAGTGTAGTGTAGTGTAGTGTAGTGTGGTGTAGTGTGGTGTAGTGGGGTGGAGTGGAGTGTAAAATTTAATAATTACTTAAAATCACTGAAAAGGAATATCATTGTTCGTCCCACGGAACGCATTATATACTTTTTTCTGTGTCCATTCTATTTATTTGTGCATACTGGACATACATTTCTGTGTCGCGTAAAACAGATAGACAAGGTAGTGTCACAACCCCACACAAGTCATCTTCCCGAGGCAAGAGAGTTAACTGACTTTAAAAGTCCAGTTTCCACCCTTGCCGAACTAGGCTGGAATTCCTGGGCTCGATCGTAGCGCCACCAGTGGCGATTACGAGTTATGTCCCTTCTATGCCTCTCCTATGGACCAATCAGATTCCACCCCTCGTATCACTTGCATCTGCTTCAAACAAAATGGTGGTGCCCAGACAAGACGATCTGATCGACAATCAAGATCTATATTGTAATAAAACGGGTCTTTCATCACAAAGTGCATCAAATCATGTGAGCACCTTGATTAAAAACTTGAAAAGATTTGGAAAATATCTATTGACGAGTTGGCGCTGCAATGCTTTGCAAATCCTGCAGTCGACCGAACTCTGCATGACAGTTTACAAACCGGATTTCGATTTTGGTGCCAATTTTGATTGGAGTATGTATAGACTCGTTAGTCCAGCCAAACTCCATAATACCAGCCTAGTTTGGCAAGGGTGAAAACTGGACTTTTATTGTCAGTTAACTCTCTTGCCTCGGGAAGATGCACACAGGTTGAACAGTAAGAACAGGACACATCCAATCACCTGATTGTTTAATATGTTTTGGGAGGTCCAGGGCTCGATTTAAGGAACTTCATTTAACTTTGACCAGGTGCATGTTGACATGAAATCCAAGCCACACACAAAATGAGGTTTCATCCTGGTCCCATAAACTTATTAAAGTCGAAACATTGACCATTTGACAGCCGTCTGTAAACAATCAAGCCTGGACCACACGATCCTGTTAGTCACCTCTTATGGATTAGTGATGTAGACTGGTAAGGTGACTATATATACACTACTGCCTAGAAGTTCATTCCCCTTACACGCATGGGCAACGCGTTACGCAACCAGTGTGCATCGGGTTGGTCACGCGTGTGATACCCGTGTGCAACGCGTTGCACACGGGTGTGCACCCCCTTCGCCACTCGTGTGCAACGCGTGACACACTCATTAGAGGGGGAACAAACTTTTGACCAAAGGAGGACCCGTCTTAAGCTGAACCTGGAGGTGGTAACAAGGAGAGAAAATTTTGTTATCCTGACGAAAAATGATAATACACATGTATTTGCTAATGTCTCCTTTCTTTATGTGATTTTGTGGGAATAACATGAATACTGTTGTGTTTAAATAGATCTGTCTTGTTTTATACGACCATTGCTTCTAAATCCGATGGTGTTAAGAGAATACATGGCCCTGGAACATGTTATTGCAATTGAAATGCTTTTATTGTGATTTGACATTAACCGTCTGTAGTACGACTTTCAGTGATAATATGTATGAGGTTTGGCGGCGCATTGTTTTTATTGGACCCTAATTACTTTATGATGACTTGGACTCTTTATCTCAGCTCCATAGCCGTGAGGCTGGGAAAGAGCAGCATGTAATTAATGAGGGTGGGTTATATCATTGAGGATACACTTGAGGGAGAGAATACTAATTACCATACTACAGGAAGAGACCTGTAGACGTAAGCGCGAGGTTGTGTTTTAGCTGGCCGTTCGATAATGGCCGCCAGGAGAAGTAAGCTTTGACTGCGTCATCTAAAATAAATAGTAAGAAACAGCAGTGTTATTTTCACGGGTCTGTTGAATAAACTCCCAGCGCTACGATCAATGTATCTTCTACTTGATCCTTGATACATCATTTTGGCATTCACAATATATAGTAATTCAACGTACAAAGGAGCACTGATCTAAAGCAATTCCGCGGGAGTAGTTGTTACCTGTGCATTACTGTATTTTCCCAGTGAGTACCCGGATGATATAGCAGAAATCTAGACTTGTTAGCGACCTGTGCTCACCATTCGTAAGCACATTTTTATTGAAAGTAGAAGGACGTATGGTCACATTGATCAACAAAAATGAAATACAGTTTTGGAAATGTAGGTATATTTGTGGGGAGCATCGGTAATGGTGATGCAGTTTTGGTAAGTCACTTGCTTGGTAATTGTGCGATCTTTGTGTACACTATTTTGACTTGCAACACAAAGTAAATATTTCATCTGAACATTGCTTATTTTACCGTGTGTATATGTTTACATTCAAAATGTAAACATATTTCACTAAGGAAATTTATTAAACACCTAAATATTCAGTTTATTTTACAAATTAACTGAAAAATATGTCCATCTTTATTAATATGATAACGAATTCCAAATATTTGTTTATGTTTAATATCATCACCAAGTACAGTTCTGTATTGTTGGGCTTCTTTTCTTAGCATAATTAATATATTGTGAAGTGTTTAAGCTCTTTTGATCGTCTTTATCATTTTTAGTCTGTCGGTTAAATAAATGAATGGATTATTCAGTCAATTTGTAAAATGACTGAAATATTTAGATATTTAATAAATTGCCTGAGTGAATCATATTTTACACATTGACTGTAACAGATACACGCTTACAAAAGAAAATACTTGTGAAAACAACGTCTATCGCGCATCGAAAAACTTCCCAACCAAACGGAAAGGAACAAGAATGATTCTGTTCAAAGCTGCAGCGAATGAATGAAAACAAAATGCAAATATAATTATTACAACCTACCAAAGTAATAATGTATCTGGGATATCAACATAAAGGAACAATATCCATTGCGTCTGCAGCTGTACAAAAATACTTATTTGATGTCAAATGTCTATGTGAGAATCAAATACTTTAATAATAATTATTTGGAAACAATATTTGGAATATATATGAAATATATTAAAATATTTAAATATATCGTTTTAAACGTTATTTAAATGTATCGAATATTATATAACCCGTGTTTCTTTCTTAACTGATCACTTAGTTTGTTTCAATTGTTTCACATAGCTGCCAAGTTAGCTGAGAAAGCCCACGTGACAACTATTTTTATAATGTCCTCGGTTCTTAAAAACATACATTGAGTTAGATAACAATGAACAACCAGTCAGTGTATTATCAGTTACCCTTTGAACAAAGTATGTTGTTTTTACATCTGTACTTCACGCCATGATATGAGTGTATTGCCTAGGTTTAGTAAACCTACCTTTACATGTAAACACTTACTTTTGACATATCCACTGTGCAAGATAACAGTAATTAATCAATCAACGTATTTCCTGTTGATCCTTTGATGTCTGGGAATGATCAGTTGATTTACAAAAAAAGTAAAGCAACGGACCATACATCTCTTGCTGGGCTGCCACGTGCGTATCACATAACTCACATTCCACCTCACTTCAAACCTGGATTAAGATTGAATAATTACCCCAGGTACAAGACAGACCAAATTTGAACCTTTATAATCTGAGTGGTGCTACAACTAAGTATACATGTTATAAATTCATTAGCTGAGCAGCAAGTGAATTACGACAAATACACAAGTGTAGGGTTATACCAGAAAATGTGGATGACAACAAGGGAGTAGTAATTGTATCATCCACGCAATCCGAAATCCGCAAATGCTTTCACTCAGGGATACTTTTTATTATTAAACTGTAACCATCAGTGGTATTTCCAAATAACGACATCCGATGAGCTTTCGCCGTTATTTGTCTGTTTGTTTAGGGTGAAGAAATTAATTACCATGCGCCCTTTGTTGAAATCTTCATAGATCACGGGTAACCAATCAGTTTTCAAAAATGCGTAAGCTTATTTAGCTGTCCTTGCAGACTGGTAGCCCAGTCTCTTGTCACGCTCGGTTGCGTTAACGAGCAAATTGACTCACGGCAGCTAGAAAGGCCAAGCGGAAATCCAAAGGTCGTATTACCTGAAGAATCAACCTTCATTTGCGAAATATCTACTGCTCTCAAAATTAAAGTCAGAACTTTCTAACCAAGGATTACCAGTTGAAACTGGTCGATGGCTGAACATTCCCAGGGAAGACAGCCAGTGTCCACTCTGTGAATCTATCGCTATGGGAGATGAATTGCATTATTTATTCCAATGTGAAGCTTTTCACCAACGGCGATATGAACTCTTAAATAAGCAATATCTTAAGTTTCCAAACATTTAAGAAAATTATGACCACTAACAGTGTAAGAAATCTAAAAGGCCTATCTAAATTCCTTAACGATGTGTACAATACAATTGGTAAATTGTATTAGTATCCACGTATCCTATTTTTATTATTTTTGTTAAATTGTACATAATAAAAATTGTAGATAATTGTATGTCATGTTATTCTAAGAATAAATGAGTTTGAGTTTGAGTCTGACACCCGAGAAGAAGCCAGAGATTAGTGCCCCTTTTTGAATAGTTTACAATCATGTGTTTTAGGGTTAGCTGTGTTGGCTTAAACGTATTTTTATTTCAAAAGAAATCTGGATCGGTAAACAAGCAAAACTTATGTAATACCACTCCAGGTAACAACTGAACAACAGCTGGATATATATAAGAGAGTGATGAACATAAACATACAAAATGCACAAATAAATACAGGAAGCCAATAAACTGAAGCAAGTGGTGTCTGTGAAATAAGGTAATGCAGTTTTCCTTTACTACATGCATAAAATTAAGCTACTCAAACCTTTTGCTTTTGACGATGATGTCGTGAACTGATTTAAGAAGAGTCATGTTTGTAGAACTGCTTAACTACTGCCACGTAATATCATTTTTAGACCATACCCATGTGTGTAGAAATACACAGTGTTTCTGATATTATCGTATTTTTTGACAGTTATAGAAAAAGTGAATTGCATCTTCAAGGTGATATCCACAAGTGCAGTCTGGTATGTCTGATACATGTCGTCTAAACTTATCAGCGTTTAAGTCACTGCAGCCGAGCCTAACGCGACAGTGGACAATTTGGCATGATCTATGAAAATATTTGAAGTCAAAATTATTAGTAATTGCATCAGAACGATTAATTAATGATTTGATTTCTTTTAATGAGCGAGCATTAGTTACTTCATCGGATAGAGGGTTCCGTATTTTGGCTAAGCAACTTGTGAGTGCTACAGGTCTATAATTTGAGCATTCATGTTCATCGCTGACACTGACACCGCATCAGCCCGGCAGTGGACTTGACACAATTATTTGCGCACCGATTATATAACTCCTACAGACAGGGTGGGGTGGTTGTTTAAAGCGAAACGGACGACCCCGTCTGTTATCTAATAAATACTGTGCGGCGCCTTGCCTCAAAACATACACCTTATAGTAGTAAACAACGATCAGGATGGCCTGGAAATAAACACAATTCTGTCTGCCCAGTGTATCCACAATTAACTAGAATGCTTCATATCCACAAATATATATATAGAAAATAGATATTTGCCCACAGCAAATATTCATTTGCTTAATTGCATCAGTATGGTTTATCAGAACATGTACAATGCTTTCTTACGCTTGGTGAGGCAGACTGAAATTGAACATTAGGATAACGTCAGCAGGGATAAAAGAGGTCATACCAAAGAACTTTAATTACTAGTGGAAAAGTCAGACATTCCGATCAACCACTTCTTTATTTAATCATTACGCTTTTTTACCCTAATAGTATAAGTGCTTCCCCGTGTGCGAGATAGGCTTAAGTCGGAAAGCGCACGTTAAATCTCCGAGGTACCTATCTACCAGAACTTTATTTGCTGTTCTGGTCATACATAAATATATGTAAGTTACGTACATGGGGAGGCTAGATTATTTACAGCTAACAGCAATATAGTGCAAATATTATGTTCAATAAAAGAAAACGTTGATAGATCTATAACACACTTTTTGTACTATTAAACAAACTGTGGACTTTTAAGACATTTTCGCTTATTGTAATAACATCTAGCTAACAAATCATGTCTATCTCTGAAATCCACAAGCATAGTTGCTGTCAAACCTAAAAAACATATTCAGGGAGGTCAGTTTTGACTTGCCAAGCACCTTAAGGTGAGTTTATTTTTAAACTGTCAAAAGCGATTGTCCCTTCAATACTAGTATATGGCTGGAAGCTGTTTCTCGGACTGTTATGAGTTATGATGTATTTTATGATATTACTGGGGAATGTTCAAATTAGTTACTGTCATTTAATCCAACGTTCTAACTGTCAACTGTCTCAACAGGACCATAGGTTTGGTTATATATCTCCTCCCTGTCTCTATGTCTTAAGTTGTTAATCGGTAACTGCGGTCCAAATGTATCAACTTATTCATCTATTGTTGCAAACTTGACTGATTTAACATATCTAATTGGTCATGAACTACTCAGTCAGTCAAGCACCTGTATCAGAAATGTAAAACCAGCCATGTTTCATGTAGTCCCAATATCACTGAAAAATGCCGATGAAACGTGACATAAATTTACTCACAGACAATATATTTTTCGTGAGAGTGAAGCACAATTTTATTAAAGTTTTATTAACAATTTCATAAACTATAATAATATTAATATTAAAATTCATCATCACTTGCCAAGTTTATGAACATGTCCCAATTTGGGAGATGTCACATATAAACAAGAATTCGAACTAAGTTTGATCGTCTTTGACACTGAGGTTTATCCCCACTTTGCCAGCAAACTGCAGAAGATTAACAGTGAGTGAGCATCGTTTCTATGTTTATACAAGAAAAGATGTTATGCCAAAAACGCTCACAGTAGTTAGTGAGTAAACTCACGACCTGTCATGACCTGATCATTGAGTGACTTCCTCCAATCAACGTGAAAAGATTACCCACAGAGAAAGAAAGGATTAAAGTCACCCATAAATCTTATCCTAACGTAGTACTCCAACTTCTAAATGCCTCTCAAAGAAGGATTAAAATCCTAAATATGTCCTATCTACGTGGTATAGGTACTCACAACCTCTAATAATAAACTGTTACGTTTGGTATCCCCAGCAATACTCACTATGGTCATTGGGCAAATGTAAAAATCACAAACCTTAACGAGATTCTGTCTACATGGTCACACCCGGTGATTGTGAAGATCTCAAATTCTATCAACAGTCAGACAGCATGGCTGTTCATATTCATTTACCACATCCTCTTATTATTAGTATAAAAGTGTCCCACACAAAACATTCTTTTATTTATTCTTTCAAAATACAAAACAGAAAGTGGGGTGTGGGGAAATGGGACATATTCCCACGTGAAATAATGAGACATTAGTAGTGGTGACGGCTATATCATAATTGTACTGTCTAAAGCATAAATTTGGCGAACGAAAAACGTTATATTTGTAATCAAATGGAATGACTCGTGTGGGCAAATGAATATGTTCGCAAATCCACAAACAATCATTTTATTAATGGCGAACATTTACCAACCCGCGACAATCGTGTCAACACGGGGGTTCCCCTAGCAATAAACTCGCATCTAAATTCACTACTGTTCTACTGTCGGCTAGTCACAATGGCTAGACGGGACCCCAGTGGAATGGTTCATGCCATAAAAGTCTAACAACCGAACACTAATTAAGACGGGCCGACCTTGTATTTACGGTCTGGTGAACACAGCTTAATGGCCGCTCATTAACTCAAATTTCACATCTCACTGTTTTGTTTTATCTCACTATTCATTTGATAATTTTGTCAACTTCAACTGGAACCCAGTCCCGTGTTACACGCGTGGCACACTCGTGTGCAACGGGTTGCACACGCGCTGCACACCCGTTGCACACCCGTGTGCAACGAGTGCTCACCCCGTGTGCAACCCGTTGAGCACCCGTGTCACATGCGTGTTACACGCGTTCTCAACGCGTGTTAGGGGAATGAACTTTTAGGCAGTAGTGTAGGTTTTGAGTGAGGTAAAATGATTGATTTTGGATGGACACGTAAGGATTAGTCAGACACAAATTTGAACTTTTTTATAGCACATGGTGGATGTAGACATAAATGTTAAGTTGCTTTTTCCAATAATAGGTTGCACTTGTGCATGTTTACTATAGCTAAAACGAGCCATGAGATCTGCTGACCACTGTTTACCTGGAACTTTTTCACATCCGCCCCGACCTCCTGGACGACACCGGACACATCCATCCCAGGGGTGTAGGGCAGGGAGGGCTTGGCTGCGTACACGCCGCTGCGGATGTAGGTGTCCACCGGGTTGATGCCGGCAGCACTCACTTTAATCAGCACCTACAGGTACACCAAGTAGAAAAACAAGTGGAATACAAGTGTAAGAGAAGTTGAGTACAAGTTGCAAACAAGTACAATAGTATGATACAAGTGGATTACAAGAGAAGTACAAGTGGAGTACAAGAGTAGAAGTGGTGTACAAGTTGCATACAAGTACAATAATATGATACAAGTGGATTACAAGAGAAGTACAAGTAGAGTACAAGTAGGGTACAAGAGAAGCATAAGTGGAGTATAAGAGAAGGACAAGTGGACCTTACAATATAAGTACAAGTTCAATACAAATGGAATACAAAGCTTGGGTTAAAGTAAGGAGAGTCCTGGGCATATCTATCATGACTTACCTCGGAGGCCTTGGGTTGAGGTATGGGGACATCTGTCTGTACTTTCAGCACCTCTGGCCCCCCGAACTCTGTGACTCTGATCGCCCTCATCACTGCACGCACAAAGCTTCTACTGGACATACAACCCTGATGCAGAACAAAACAGTAAACAAGTCAACTGACACCATGTTTGTTTGTTTGTTTGTTGTTTATTTGTTGTTTAACGCCCCCTCAGCAATATTCCAGCTATATGGCGGCGTTCTGTAAATAATCGAATCTGGACCAGACAATCCAGTGATTAACACCATGAGCATCAATCCATACAATTGGGATACGATGACATGCATCAACCAAGTCAGCGAGTCTGACCACCCAATCCTGTGGTTGCCTCTTACGACAAGCGTAGTCGCCTTTTACCACAAGCTTGGGTTGCTGAAGACCAGTGTTCTACCCCGATCTCCACGCGTACTAACCATGCTAACACCATGTATTGCTGGTCGGTCAATCTTGTTGTTTAATGCTGCAGTCAGCAGTATTCTAGTATTTCATGACAGTTTGTAAAGAATCAAGTCTGACCCAATTAAACCAGGGGCCTTAGTGTACGACCGGGTAATGGTGAGACACTCCTGAAGCCCCATCTTACCAGTTCGTCGTTTTGGGTACTGGGGTAAACAATATAAGACACCTGCATGAAAGCTTAACAGTCTTAAAATAAATTTCGAACTGTTTCTTGAACAGGAATTCATAAATTCCAGATCGCAATCAACCTATCATGTAATGTATGAGGTGTGAGGTGAAATGGGTTTAACGTCGCGTCCAAGATTATTGCACTTATATAGCGACGTGCATGCGTATGTGTGTGTGTGTGGCTACTTGTACTAGTCTGGACTGATGCCGATTTATAGTGCTAGCAAACTGAGATACCATGCCGCAGTTTAACATGAATACCCCACTCAGACACAGTATACTGACTCCGAGCCGACCAGTCCTTGTTTTAGCCCCTTAATGCCGAGCGCCAGACAGGGTAACAACAAGTACCATCTTTTAACGTCTTTTGGTATGACGCAGCTGGGGATCGAACCCTGGACCTTCCGCTCTCCGGGCGGACGCTCTACCACTAGACCACGGAGGCGGTCTTGTAATGTATGAGATCACACAGGTAATGATGTAGTCTGAAACGCTCTCTGGGCAGACGCTTTACCACTAGACCACGGAGGCGGTCTTGTAATGTATGAGATCACACAGGTAATGATGTAGTCTCAAACGCTCTCCGGGCGGACGCTCTACCCCTAGACCACGGAGGCGGTCTTGTAATGTATGAGATCACACAGGTAATGATGTAGTCTGAAACGCTCTCCGGGCAGACGCTCTACCACTAGACCACGGAGGCGGTGTTGTAATGTATGAGATCACACAGGTAATGATGTAGTCTGAAACGCTCTCCGGGCGGACGCTCTACCCCTAGACCACGGAGGCGGTCTTGTAATGTATGAGATCACACAGGTAATGATGTAGTCTGAAACGCTCTCCGGGCAGACGCTCTACCACTAGACCACGGAGGCGGTGTTGTAATGTATGAGATCACACAGGTAATGATGTAGTCTGAAACGCTATCAACGTGATCAAACAGACAATATCGCCTCTTACAGAGAAACAAGTATCCCTCACCTGACCTGATTCAGTTGTTGATTAATCGAGTATGCAAGATATGAATATTCAATTAACTGTAGCTGGAACTTGTGGCTGGTGATTATCCCATTGTGCTGACCCACATCCTACAAGCTATTATGCTGACTCACGTCCTTCAAGCTGTATCTTGTAGGGCCTGTACAGGTTTTAAGCCTCTACACTCACGAGTGTGTCAAATTATTCCTCCACTGAGTCCTCAATACCATCTAATTTTTAACTCTGAGTCTCATTGTTAACCCCTGAATCTCGAATACTACTTAACACAAATATAAAAAGCATTGAGAAAGGAGAGTTAAATTACTCACAAGAATAAAATACTATTACGGAAACTTTGAAGTACGTCGGTTGTCAATATGTTTAATAATGATGAATTTGCGTACTAAATACGATTTTATTTTAGTCCCGCGTACCGCACGACGGAATACTGTCCGAATACCGTCTAAATTGACCCCCGAATCCCGCGTGCCAAAAGGGGGTTTGGTAGCCTCACTCACCAGTCACGTGATACATACATGGTCAATTCTGGCTTTATTTTTGTTTAACTTGTTTGTAAAGTTTGTGAACCTGTTTCAAACATCTGCAAGTAAACTTATCCCCGGCTAAAAGTTAAATCATGTACCTGGTCAGACGTGTGACAGTGATTATCGCCTAGACTATCTGCATCCTCTGATTCTGAATCTGATGAATGTTGACAGGTGCCCGGAACCAGACACGCCAACAGTATTACAATACTGACAATTTTACCATGACAACTGCCCGCGCACGACAAATATAACGTCATGTCCTAGCAGCATTTACGCACAGATCTTGTTGTTAAATTTGAGGACGAGCATACGCCACTGATCAATCCTACCTTTTCAACACGTGCAACGTCCAATTCTGTCACTTCCGGGTGACTATAAAGGGACATAACTCCTGTCTCCTTGTTGGCGTATCAACGCAACTGTGGTATTTCTGGCATGGACGCTGACAATGTACTACCGGTTGCAGCTTGTCAACTTGTTCACAAAATAATGGGCTTATAACTTTGACAACTGTTGGTTAACCTGTTTAAAAACTGGCTGACCCGTACACAACGATAATTAAGTACATTCATTGATTGGCTAACTCGTAAACACATACACACTCTTCAAAAAAAGAAACGCACTGGTAGAATGTGGTCCATTGAACCTGACTACACACAAAATCCGGTATGTAAATTGGATATATGTTATTGGAAAATGTTAGTGGCCTGATATTCGACAAACGGTGCGTCAAATCGCAGCCATTGTCGATTTGCAATGTCTTAAACGGCATTGTTTTCACACTTGTTAAAAAATGTCATGGAAAACAGTAAAGCAAAATGCACGTGCAAGTTACTCGCAGTAGTGGCTATAAAAAGGCAAGCATAAGCCAATAACTTATCATTCAATTATCAACATTTTTAAAGTTCTAAAATGCCAATACTCAGCGCTGCCGATCGGAACATCGCCAAAGGACGTATCCAAAGAGGGGAATCGAAGTCTTCTGTTGCAGGCCACTTCAACGTCCGCCACAGCACCATTTGCCGCCTTTGTGACCGATACACACAGTTCAATTCCACTGCAGACCGTCCGAGAACCGGCCGACCAAGAGTTACCTCCTCTGCGCAGGATCGCTATATTCGACTGTTCCACCTACGCCATCGCAGTGTCACATCTACGAAAACTGCAGGATGCATCCATGGTTTGAGGAGGATATCGGACCAGACTGTCAACATGACAACGCTCCACCGCACACAGCTCGTTTCTCGGTAGACTACCTCCCTAATGCTAACACCAACGCCTTGCCCTGGCCGTTTTTGATCTCCAGATCTCAACCCAATTGAAGACCTCTGGGATGAACTCGATCGACGTGTACGTCAACGTCAGAACACGCCGCAGACACTCCCACAACTAGCCAACGCGTTACCCGTCCGCAGGACAGAATTCGTACACTTATCCAGCTAAGCGACGTGGAGCTTGTGTACGAGTCGCAACGAAGCTGGAGCTTGGTAACGTGTAAATATCTACATCGAAACGTCGCTATATCGCGGCAAATAAACCAGAAGTTGTTATTCATAAAGTTGTACGTTTTCTTTTTTGAGTGGTGGTTTAGTGTGTATTGTCATATTTTCAATGCATTGAACTTAAAACACTTCTACAAAACGACTTGTTTGATCGCTCAACACACTGTATGAATATCTCTTTTAATTGATTGATTTATGGCCATGTAAACTCTTAAAGGGGTTAAAAACGAAAATATTCTACATGAGATCGTATTCAAATAGTAAATGTCTCGGAAATATCTTTGTGCGAGTAAACAAATTAATAAACTCAGCGTGCATGTTTACTTATCAACCACCGAACAATACGGTTTATGATTACTCAATTACAAACTGTCTCGGAAATAGATTTGTACGAGTAAACAATTGCAAAGCGTTAGTTTTCACATGTGTACGAGTAAGCAAACGAAACAATGTACTTAAGCATCGTTGTGTACGGACAGGAAGTCTGTTTATAGACTCTCTGGTATGGGTCTGCTAAAAGTTGTGAACGGATCAGCTAATTTGGAAACGAGTCTCCGCGCGAACGTGTTGACAAAAAATAAAGTACTCCAGGCCCGATCGGTCAGGGAGTGTTCGGCCTTGTGCCTGTAATAGAGGTTTTGTGTCCCGCGCGTCAATTGTTTGGGTGAAACGTGAAAAAGAACTCACGGAGAAGATAGAACAGGTACACAGAACAAGGTAGACAGAAAATGATGATAGAACTGGGTAGATGTAACAGGTAGACAAAACAGTGAAGACAGAACAGGCAGATGACGATAAAATAGGCAGATATAGAACCGGGAAGATGGCACAGGTTAGACAAAACAAGGTAGATAGAACAGTGACGATAAAATAGGCAGATATAGAACAGGGAAGATAGCACAGGTTAGACAAAACAAGGTAGATAGAACAGTGACGATAAAATAGATGCCCAAACCAAATTTCATAAAGGTTAAAGTAGCCTTGGACAAGTAGCGGGAGTGAGCATGTTGTGTTAGCAGTATTCAAGCATTATCACGGCGGGCCACACCATAATGGGCTTAACATATTGTACCCATGTGGGGAATCGAACCCGGGTCGTCGGTGTGACGAGCGAACGCTTCAACCGCTAGGCTACCGCTGAGTAGAAATTGTTGGAAGTTGGGAGATTGTTTCACCAGGACAGTTGCGTCACTTGGGCATGCCAGAAACCTATGATTTGGGGTTCGAATCCCGGTTCGCAACGATTATGTTTCTAGGTTTGTCAGCACCATACCCGTGTTCGTGGATTTCACCGAAGTGGTAAACGTCTGAGACCTGCATCACTTCGGGCTTTCCTCCCACATTAAGCTGACATGCTGTGATATAACTGGAATACTGTTAAAAGCGGCGTTAAATCCAACTCTCTCACTCTCCAGAACAGACGCCTAAAATTTACCCTACAGCTAGAGTAGGATTCCCTGATAACGGGAGGAGGTCATGTGCCGTGTGGATGGTATAGGACGCCTTAACCACGTGATTACAGTTGGCGAGGTATGAAGGGAAAGGACGCCTTGACCACGTGACTAAAGCTGGCGACGAATGGAGGTATAGGACGCCTTGATCACGTGACTAAAGCTGGCGACGAATGGAGGTATAGGACGCCTTGACCACGTGACTAAAGCTGGCGACGAATGGAGGTATAAGACGCCTTGACCACGTGACTAAAGCTGGCGACGAATGGAGGTATAGGACGCCTTGATCACGTGACTAAAGCTGGCGACGAATGGAGGTATAGGACGCCTTGATCACGTGACTAAAGCTGGCGACGAATGGAGGTATAGGACGCCTTGATCACGTGACTAAAGCTGGCGACGAATGTAGGTATAGGACGCCTTAATTGATCACGTATAGAGGTAGAGGACGCCTTGACCACGTGACTAAAGCTGGTGACGAATGGAGGTATAGGACGCCTTATATTGATCATGTATGGAGGTATAGGACGCCTTGACCACGTGACTAAAGCTAGCGACGAATGGAGGTATAGGACGCCTTATATTGATCACGTATGGAGGTATAGGACGCCTTGACCACGTGACTAAAGCTAGCGACGAATGGAGGTATAGGACGCCTTATATTGATCACGTATGGATGTATAGGACGCCTTATATTGATCACGTGACTAAAGCTGGTGACGAATGGAGGTATAGGACGCCTTAACTTGATCACGTATGGATGTATAAGACGCCTTATATTGATCACGTATGGAGGTATAAGACGCCTTGACCACGTGACTAAAGCTGATGACGAATGGAGGTATGGGACGCCTTATATTGATCACGTATGGAGGTATAAGACGCCTTATATTGATCACGTATGGAGGTATAAGACGCCTTGACCACGTGACCCAAAAGCTGGCGACAAACTGAAGTATATGTCGCCTTAATTGATCACGTGACTAAAGCTGTCGACGAGTGGGGGTGTCTGTGTCATATTTCCACGCCCTGCTACACAAAAACCAAACAACAGACGCCTGGGTAAGATATTGATGGTGTGGTCTAGCTGTTTTGGTGTGTTTATCTGTGGTTCAGCTGTCATTGTGTGGTTAATCAATCAGGTTATTTCAGGGAATATAAGCTGAATAAACAGGAAAAGAGAGATTTCTTCCGGTTCGAGGTTTAAAATGATGTCTGTTTTTCACGAAACACAGCCACGCTAATTGTGGCGGACCATCCTTTACCATCTCAAATTTCACGTAAGTTCAAGTTACATTGATACCTTTTGGTGCAAACTATGGCGTCATACTCGGTACACACTTTATTTTTAATGTGTTCATTGAATTACACCCACATTTATCACAGCACCATTGTAGAGGCGTGTAGACAACGCGCTTCATTGTAAAACATACACATACACACACACACACACACGCACTTGGGTTCAAGCGCACTTGCGGTGTCCTCCGTGTTGAAGTATGGACAAGACCACTTTGTAAGACACGTTCAGACACCACCATGTCCCACTGTAAAACATAATCCCTCGCACGCACACACACACACACACACGCACGCGCACGCGCACGCACACACACACACACACACACACACACACACACACACACAGCACAACAAATAAGCCGACCGTTGTGTTTTGTATTATGTTTGTAATGATTCGTCCGCTGTCTTTCCGATGTGTGGGGTTACATTTATATGCAAAATTCCCGATAAGCTTGGGTTAAAAAAGATCTTCAGCGAGCGATGCTTGCCGTAAGAGGCGACTAATGGGGTCCCACACCCACCTCCACACCTTACAAAGTTAAGACATTGTCTGTGTAGGTCAGAATTTGGAGATTTATGGTTATTTCAAATGTATGGTAACAAACATGTATTTCTCCATGTGTTTCAGCAACGTTTGAAGGACAATTTTCAACAAATTTGGCACAGTGACCTACTTGCAAGTTCAAAAATGACCGATTATGCAACATTTAATGTTTCTATAAATACTAAAAACTATTTAAACCTCATAACACAAAGCAAATACAAAATTGGTATTTCTCGTTTTCATTTAAGTTGTCATGACCTGGAAATTGAGCGTGGGTGTCACTTCAATATACCTAGAAATTTTAGAAAATGTAAACTTTGTAACCTAAACTGCGTTGAAAATGAATTCCATTTTCTCTTAGTGTGTCATCGTACGTACAGCTAAGACAACTACATCAACCCAAAGTTTTATCTTGATACTAACATCCATATATTTAACATTTTGATGTCATCGCCAAAATCTAACATAATTACAAATCTAGCAAACTATTTGTACAATGCATATATGGAAAGAAATGTACAGTAAACTACGGTTATAACGAACTCAAAGGGACTACTAATTTTAGTTCGTTATAACCGTAGTTCGTTATAAGGACATATGCAGCATGACTACAGCAAGTAGTCGGGACCAAAAAGTAAGTTCGTTATATCCGTCAGTTCGTTATAAGCGTGTTCGTTATAACCGTAGATTACTGTACTGCGATTCCGCCTGTACCATAATGTTTGTACACAAAGGCCGGGGTCCTAAAAATACTGAAATAAATCGATTGATTGATTGATTGATTGATTGATCCTACAGTGCATGGACGGGGCTATATCACTTTACAACATCTTTAAACACAACGTAATTGTAGATGGTTGTACGCTTGAGTAAGCTCAAGGACGCCGCCATGGCGTCGGGGAATGCATGCTAAGTTGTAAGAGGTTCTGCGCTTTTGTTATGTTTTTTTGCACTGGTAGAAGTGCATTGTCACCATTGAGTGCACCAGCAGGGCTTAATCAGCAGATAAGACTACAATTTTCTATGATATTATGATTAACCTTGTGACCTATATTAACGTTTGGTCTTGCCTGATTATAATATACTAGCCACATTAAGAAACTGTGCACGGAGAAAATATAGATATAAGGGCACACCGTCCATATATGAAATATAGATTTGAACACAGCAATTATTGGAGACATTCAAACGCTCATGCACGTGCCATGCGATATGACGTCATTGATGGGGGCCTATGGACGTGCAATGTGTTACTGCACGTGCATCCTGTGCAGCTGTACACAGCATGTGCAACTCAAAATTCGCTGTCACTTTGGAAAGCATGATCTGTGGTCATTCAAAAATTCAAAACTTCTCAGGCGCAGACACAAGCATATCACAAGCAAATCATGCCAAGATTGACAGCTGCACAGCGTCATGAAGCCATTGGAATGATCCGAGCGGGAATGAGGCAACAACAGGTGGCAACACATTTCCAATGCCATCGTATCACGATATCGGCATTGGTGAGGCGTTATCAGAACACAAATGACGTTGCCGACCCCCCACGTTCAGGACGCCCCGAGTAACGACGCCAAGACAGGACAGATGGATTCGAGTTACACATCTCCGACACAGGTTCCAAACGGCAGTAACGACGTCCCAGACAATTCCTGGACTGCGCCGTATCCATCCCAACACTGTCAGGAATCGTTTACGTCAGGATTCGACCACGACGCCCTGCCATACGTCCCATCCTGACACACCGTCATCGAGTCAACCGTCTAAGATGGTGTCGAAATCATGTTCGCCAACCTCGAATATGGTTGAGAAATGTTGTCTTTACAGATGAATCGAGGTTCAACATTTCCCACAGTGACGGGCGCCAACGTGTCTACCGGCGTTTGGGAGAACGTTATGCACGCAACTGTATTGTGGAGAGGTATCGTTTTGGAGGTGGCTCTGTGATGATTTGGGGTGGGATAACAGCACGGCACCGAACCCCTTTGGTGGTTGTTCAGGGCAATCTCACCGGTGTTGGCTACAGAGATCAGATTCTGAGGCCTGTGGTCATTCATTTCCTGCAACGTCATGGCCCGGGATTGACATTTCAACAGGACAACGCTCGTCCTCACACGGCTAGGGTCGCAATGGATTTCCTTCACCATAACAATGTCATGTTACTGCCATGGCCTGCAGTTTCTCCAGATCTCTCCCCAATAGAGCATGTGTGGGATGAAATGGAGCGCCGTCTGCGTCGTCTTCCACATCCTCCAGATAACGTCCGTGACTTGGCACAGGATTTGAGGAGGATATGGCAGGCCATTCCCCAGGCCTTCCATGCCCAGTTGGTGGACTCCATGCGTCGCCGATGCACTGCTGTGATTCACGCACAGGGTGGTCATACCCGTTATTGACTTTGTGACTTTGTCGTATGACCCCCTACTCCATTTTGATCTTCTGACGTCATCGTAACAGATGTTGTTCAGGTCCCGTTGACATTTTCTTATGGTCCGATCATTCAGCTGCTACAGCGTCTGCATCATTTTGTTCTTGCTGTGTTGTATTTCAATCCAGAATATATTTTCTCCGTGCACAGTTTCTTTATGTGGCTAGTATAGTATTACTTAAAATTTGTTGTCGGTGTATTAGCTCAGGACCGCACACCTTAATATGACCAAGAGAAGCATCTATTAGTGACCAGTCTTTATTCAGCGTATATCATCAGTGAGGTACCCCGAATAAAGGCCGTTATTTATACCACCGATGCTCTTAGAGGTCATGGTAAGGTCGCATGTTCAATTATCACTTATTTAACCAATACTTACACAATGTAGCTAATCTAACGTGTTGACTATCTGAATTTAGAGATTTACTCGCACTTGTGAAAGACACGAGCATGCATAAATAACCAAATCGTCAGAACAGTTTCTCCGAGAGCATGTTGTCCTAGAGTAACATGTACTTCTCTCTCCGGACAGGTAGTCCTAACGATTACCACATAACGTTTATCACGTAAAACTTGGGAGTGAAGGCAGGCGTATATCAAGACTGCACAAATTATTAATATGCAATATCCACAAAATATGTTGTTTAATCCTACCGTATAAAGCCAAAACTATTAATAAAAATAGAAAAGATTATGGCAAAGTTTGGAACTATGATACTATTATTCGCATACTTTCCGACGTGTCGGGACACATTTATAAGCAAAATCTGTTTTTAGAAATAATGCAAGGTTTAATGTGTGTCATTAAGTGGAGCGTTTAAGGACGCGTTGAAGTTAGATTGGTTGGTTTGTTGGTTTTTTAACGCCGCACTCAGCAATATTCCAGCTATATGACGGCGGTCTGTAAATAATCGAATCTGGACCAGACAATCCAGTGGTTAATATCATGAGCACCGATCCACGCAATTGGGATCGATGACATGCATCAACCACGTCAGCGAGCCTGACCACCCGATCCCGTTAGTCGTCTTTTACGACAAGCATAGTCGCCTTTTACGGCAAGTATGGGTTGCTGAAGACCTATTCTACCCGTTGAAGCTAGAAAGTAGTTCAGGCATGTATGCCGGCTTGTCAGTGAGTGAATGAGAGAGTGAGTGATATGGGTTCAGCTATTTATTAGTTGAATGTTGGAAGAAACCCAAACTCACCCAGGTCACAGACGTTTACCACGAGAGAAGTATGGACTTCAAACACACGATCAGCTGATTCTTGCAGAGCCAAAGGTGGACATTTTGCTCACCGAATTGTAACCAATTGGCTACCTGCCCCGTATTTTATTGAATCTTGTAAAAATGTTTAGAATTTACTTGTTGTATATGACCAAACATACACTGCATAGTAAAGGCATCAGTAAAACATATAATAAATATAGGGTAGATGCGCTGACATTTCAAAACAATGACATAACATATTTTACATATATATATAACATATCATATATATATGTTGTTGTTTTTCAATGTTACTAAATAATATCACGACTCCAGGAGCGAGTGCCGGTATTGGAGAGGGGGCAGCTTTGCATTTTGCCAGACATGGAGCCAAACTCTCGATAACGGGACGAGATAAGACGAGACTGGAAGACGTCGCTTAGCGATGCGCGGAGTGCGGGATACCGGCTGATGACGTGAGTGTTGTAGTATTGTACTTCTTGTCTTGTACACCCCAAGCACGTTCAGCTCACTAGGTGACTGATGATACATGTAACAAATTAAATACGACGTGTTTAGAGCTTTTCTATTTGATTTTTGTATCGCACTTTCCTTTTAATTCCATATGCTTTTCTAAGTGAGAACATACCAAGAAACCAATACTTTCAAATACAAACATACCCAAAGCACTTTGGATTCAAATGTTGAAGCTGTTAGGCGAAACTATGAAGAGAAGATACTCCCTACTGCTGAAAAAGGACGAAAAACTGTCCAAGTCCTTTAACAAGTACTTCTCAAGCAAAACGGAAAACATCAGTAAATCGCCTGTCCCTAACTGATTTTAAAGTCTGAACTGCAGGTGCTGAAACTCATGTCCAAACATGTGAGCTGGACCCTATTCCTACTAAACTTGACCGCCTCCGTGGTCTAGTGGTAGAGCATCCGCCCGGAGAGCGGAAGGTCCGGGGTTCGATCCCCGGCCGCGTCATACCAAAAGACATTAAAAGATGGTACTTGTTGTTACCCTGTCCGGCGCTCGGCATTAAGGGGCTAAAACAAGGACTGGTCGGCTCGGAGTCAGTATACTGTGTCTGAGTGGGGTATTCATGTTAAACTGCGGCATGGTATCTCAGTGTGCTAGCACTATAAATCGGCATCAGTCCGGACCAGTACAAGCAGCCACACACACGTGCATTCACGTCGCTATATAAGTGCAATAATCTTGGACGCGACGTTAAACCCCATTTCACCTCACCTCACCTGAGTCACCTCACTTGGCTTCTCAACGGCCACGTGACCTGAAGCATCTTTGAACCCGAGAAACATCGGTGTCAGATGATTCAACTGCCTTTCTGTCGAATCCTCCAGTGGCCTCAAATAGAAGCAGTAATTTCTTTGGATAGACTTTAATTTGCTGTTTCATTCGTTGACATATTACAGCGTATTTTCAGCGAAAACGGTCTGGGGGAAGTAGTATACTCTCTTTAAACCGGTTTCCTTTTTACAGGGAACATCGTAAACGTTTCCAGTGTTGCCGGAGTCCGTCCGGTAAGTTCAACTTGGTTTGTGGTATGCAGTGTGTTACATGGCAGTGTTACGTATTGTTGTGGGCGAGAATATCTTCATTTGCTCAGAATTCATGTTTTTTTGTTTTGCAAATGAATAACGGTGTGTCTACAAGTATCATGACACACAAATCAATTCATTTTAACTTAATTCAACTAATTTACAGCGTTAATTAGAATATCTCAATCATCAGCGAAAACTGTTTGGCCCATGAGCGAGAATATTCTCCTTTGCTCAAAACCCATGTTTTTGTTTTGCAAATACATGAAGATATGTCTACAAGTACCATTACGCATAACTGAAATCATTTTAAATGTATTCAACTTATTTATAGCATTATTAAAATATCCCATAGTTGAGCAACGTTTCCTTTTGCTAAACACTTATGTATTTTGTTTTGCAAATAAACAAATGTGTGTCTAAGAGCACCATGACACATTTTAAATTAACTTAATTTATTTGTTGCTTTATTTCAACATCTGGCTTATTAAAACAAATGTGCAACTAAATCATGGCCTATAATTAATATAATATACATATAGTATCATTATGTACAGATTGGAAATAAAAAATGCAGCAAAGAGGGTTTGGGTGATCCTGACCCAGTCAGGCTGGTCAGGCCCATCATCAGCCCAGGGCCCTTGCCCCCTCTACATGCAGCCCGGACTTTTAGCGTTATGAAATTAAATGAATATAGTCATATTTATGTTTCAAGATATAATCTAAAGGTTTCGTTTATTAATTGAACATAAATAGTTCTATAACTGTGTGATCCTACATGTTATATATAATAGGTCATGACGTGAATGTGAACTTTGCGTCATAGCAATAGTTAGATGTAAAAACCTTGCAGTGTGTAAGGCTGTGTAGGGAAGTTAAACAAGAGGTTATATCAATAATGCCCAGCCAAAAGACTTTTGAGATTCGTTAGAAAATGAATTACAATCCTTAATTTCGTCTGTCACACAGACCCTGAAACAAATATATCCCATACATCCAATGAAAGTCTATACTATATAGATCGGCCCTGAGTTAACATGATTTGTAGCGTTATTGAAACATTTGGTCCAAGGGCTAGCAAGTTTTCGTTTGCTCAAAAATCATTTCCTGGTTTTGAACAAACACAAATATGTAACTACAATTTTCAACAGAGAAAATGTACCTTTTCAAATTTGAATATAACTGGAATGTAATAAAATATTTAAAAGACACATTTAATAAATAAGCATAAATAATTATACTACCATGTTATCCTATAGGTGATAAAGACTGCGTACGTGACCGCACCTACCGTTTTGTATATAACTAGTCGAGCATGGAAAAATATTTTGACAATGTTCTCTATCAAAAATTGAAAACTGAACTAAAGAAATGGAATATCTAATAAATGACCGAGATTCGGTGGAAGAACTTGACACTATGGAATGTTTAGCATACCATGGCCATGTCTAGGATTCGGAATCAGTCGCACAGCACGTAGCTGTCGCTTGGAATGCCCTGTGATGACCTTTTCGGTGTTGCTGAATTCACAGAAGCGTGCACTAAGATCTCATTCTAAAGAGGTTGCATAGTTTTTTCACATAGTTTTACCTTTGAGTGTGACTTTGTTGTGTTTATTGAGTAGCATTCAACACTGACAAATACCAAAACTTAGCGGATAGTTTTCAGCTCTTATTAAAAAAATGTTTGTTGACATCAAAATGTTGATCAACGTGCATTCCCAGCATTCGAAAAAAGAAATAATTAAAGGGAAACAACTCCATTTTTTACGATATTGTAATATTGATCAGCTTTTTCGTCGCGGATTCAAAATTTGCTCATGGACTATAATGTCGAGTGGTTTGACTTATGTTGATGCCATTCTCGCTGCACGAAGCAAACGATGACACCCATCGGAGGATCGGGGAATGAGAAACCGTATATCATAACAAAGGATATATATACTAACATATGTTTTTGCTGTTGATAAGTGTATGCACGATTTGATGGAGTGACCTCCGTTGTTTGAGAAATAAAATTGTAAACACTGACAAAAAATCACATCACATGGGTGTGGACCAAAACACATGGAGAGTGAAAATTGGTACAGTGTGTCGTTTGGACACCACAGGTGAAGTCCCCTTTAGCAGCTTTATGTGTATCGTTGTGCATTGCCACAGTTTTCGTGCTGGCGCTTTTGACAGTCACCAGGTGTGGGTGTGTAGAGCTGTGTGTAGCGGATGCCACAGGGACATATATGTCCCTCCTCTACAACCCTCACTTTGAAGTCGAATAAAATTAAAAATACATCTAATACACTTCACAGTTTTAAATTAGGTGGGAGATTCCCTGTTCTGTGATATTATCCATTGGCATTTTAGGCCAAGCAAAAGTACTAAAAATGACCTCTGAAAATTAGGTACTTCGTTAATGTCGCCATTTTTTACACATTACTAAATTACCCATCACCGCGTTATTTACAGCATGTTTTGAAATCTAAATTTCGGATATTTACTCCGAGAAATAAATTTCAAAAATAGCATATTAGTGATCACGGGTATCTGTCCTTTATGAAATCACCAATGATCATTCCAAAACGTCTCCGATAACCCTAGAATCGTTTAGAATGTTTTGGAAAATACGCAAACACGAACGCCGAAGTGAACTTTCCGCCATATTGGATAGTGTTTACAAAATCACGTTTCAGGTACACCGGTTATGAGGCGCCTGTAACATCACATATATTTCAAACTTAGCTGCGTTACACACAACCTTGAATTCCTCATACATTTTAGAATCGAATGAATAATGGTCTTTGTCACCAATACGAAGTGGCTGGATGAAATCAAGCAATATCAGTTAGGTGTAAAAACGAACGCTATGCTCGAAAAACTGCACTTGTTTGAAATGTAAACAAAGCAAAATACAGATTTTACACAGTGTAGCATTTTCTCCAATTTTGAGCTATCCATTCGTCTATTCGTTCAATATATTGGCTCAACATTTTCAGAATATTCATGGGAAGAGAATGGTAGGAAGAATTAGGGAATTTAAAATAGATACATTAACAATTTCTGTTGAAAATATCAGATCATTGCAAAGTTACCGTCCTGTGTGATCCAACTCACCCACTCACTCATTCATTCATACATCAGATTACAATAGTAAACTTTGGCAATGTGTATCATACGCCTGACAAGAATCTCAGCTCAATACACCATTTTTGTTTCAGCCCCGGCGTTGTGGACACTCCACTCTTCACTCGGGAGGACTCATTCTTTCACAACAAAGACGAGGAGGCCAGCAAGGTCAGCGGCTACGGCCTTACTTTCTCCACAATATTGATGCTGGCAAGATACATCCCAACTGTCGTAGTGCGTGATGCGTCGAAATAATGTGTCACCTATTCCGTCAATAGATCAAATTTATATTTGTTGATATCAAATATTCTGGGTCGTCTGGCGAAGGAATTCTCTTTAATGTCCACAATAATAAATCACCAGGGCCCCCTTTCACATATTGATCATAAACTACGACTGTTGTGGTGTAGTGGATAGAGCGTCGGCCAATAGAGCGGATACTTGGCGTTTGATCGTCAGCTGTGTAATACCACAAAATGTTAAAATGTGGTACTTGTTGTTTCCGTGCCTGGCGCCCGGCATTAAGAGGATAAAATAAGGACTGGTCCCGATGTCTCGAATGGTCTCGTGGTACATCGTGTTCCTTAATCACCTGGGAGCATGGGTGGCCCAGTCGTCTTAGTCGCCGCGATTCGCTGTGCAGAGTTGCGTCCCTATGATTGTGGGTTCGAATCCCGGTTCGCCCCGATTATGTTTCTAGGTTTGTCAGCACCATACCCGTGCTCGTGGGTTTCATCGAAGTGGTAAATGTCTGAGACCTGCATCACTTCGGGCTTTTCCCCCTACATTAAGCTGACACGCCGCGATATAACTGGAATACTGTTAAAAGCAGCGTTAAACCCAACTCACTCACTCCTAATCACCTGAATACCATCTACAGTGTCTGGGCCGCACAAAGAATGCCTGGAGCACATTGTTAACTGAAGGCATCACCAGTGGTACCAGTCAAAAACCTTGTTACGTCTCCTCACAAGTGTCAGTTCTGATTAAAATATTGGCATTTAATGTCTTTTACTATCCAAACATAAAATGTTTGAAAATTTAAAAGACATCGAGTTTCATCATGTTAAACAGAAGTTCAGATTCCTGCGGTCTCCTCGAAGTTTTGAAAAGAATGTGACCGTGTGTTCCGAAACCAGTAACTTGTGAAACCAGCTCGCGTTTTGGCAGCCATCTCGCGAGACCGGAATTGAGTTATAAAATGACGTTATTTGTCAGATGAGAGAATTCGTGACCAACCTGTGTCATTCTGAGTTACAGGAGGGGGCCATTTTGGACGAATGTTCTTGCCGGGTACAGAAGGTGTCGACCTTTCGCGATTTTTGATCGACCAATGAAATGATTAACAGGAATTCGACATTAGACAATCAGAAAGCTGCTTTCGCAAGCTTTAGGTACTTGTTTCAATATGGCGACTTCCATTCCAGGCTACGCTTTGAAAAATATTTTGATAACGTTCTTGATTCAAAATTTGAAAACTGAACAAAAGAAAAGCCTGGAATGTCAAAACCATGACCTGAGACTGTATGGCAGTACTTTATGTAGCGGTGATTTTAATGAGATTGGCCCCTGTGGTACTATTGTCCTGCAAGGTCATTGTTATATATTTCCAGTTCTTGAAGGAACAAGCAGTTGCCCATCCCCTTGGCAGAGTGGGCCAACCCCAGGATGTGACTGAGTCCATTGCTTACCTTGCCTCAGACGCTGCGAGCTTTGTGACAGGACAGCTCATTTTCATTGATGGGGGTCGACACCTTGTCTAGCACAGTACTTTTTAGTGAAATTCGTGCATATTCAGGGACAAACCGATTTGTTCTCGAAGGGCGGTTTGATACATGAACATACATGAATCTTGCTCCAATGTCCTTTGCTCGAAGACATGAGTTAAATATGCAATTGACTGCATGTGATCCAATAAAGATCGAGAAATGGTGACGTGTGGTGTTTAAAATTCCTTAATAAGAGACTGCTTCATGCTACGTAAGCATCGTCCGCATAGAATAAGTATATCACAACGTTATCACAGTTTGATCTGGCAGATTGCAATAAAAAATACTACTAATCCTATATAGATATATATCACAGCGACCTGTTGTCAGCAATATTACAGCTATATCAGAAAGATCAGTGGTTAGCAATATCACAGCGATATTGCAGCAGACTTGTCAGAAATATTACAGCTATAGCAGAGAGAACAGTAGTTAGCAATATCACAGCAGACTGTTGTCAGCAATATTACAGCTATAGCAGTGAGAACAGTGGTTAGCAATATTTTAGCTATATTACAGCAGACTGTTGTCAGCAATATTACAGCTATAGCAGAGAGAACAGTGGTTAGCAATATCACAGCGATATTGCAGCAGACTGTTGTCAGCAATGTTACAGCTATAGCAGAGAGAACAGTGGTTAGCAATACCACAGCGATATTGCAGCAGACTGTTGTCAGCAATATTACAGCTATAGCAGAGAGAATAGTAGTTATCAATATTACATCTACTTTACAGCAGACTGTTGTCAGCAATATTACAGCTATAGCAGAGAGAACAGTAGTTAGCAATATTACATCTATATTACAGCAGACTGTTGTCAGCAATATTAAAGCTATATCACACAGGCCTATAGGCTGCAACATTACGTCTGTGTCATAGCGGCCCGTTATCAGCAATATTACATATCTAGGATGCTTGTAGTCGGCAATACGGCAGCCAGAGACAGAAAATATATTCGTCTGCCATATGACACTGATAGAGATATTTAGATGTGCTTTTGACTATTTTTATCAATAAAATGATAATCTGTGTCAAATGTTTGTGTTGTATTATTGCAATTAATATTTTGTTTCACTCAATGTCACTCAGTATAAGTATCAATGACTTATATAAGTATAAGTCTTTCAACCCGAACTGTCAGTGACTGCTATGTCACCATTTGCTAAGAAATGAGCTGTTGTTATTTAGAAAGTTTGCCCCTTCCTTTCAGTTTGACAACACCCTTTTCAATATTTGAATCCCCTGCAATGTGTGTGAAAAAGGTTTGTGCATTAATCGTGTTCATATGTTCATTATCCATGTATACTGGCTTTATATAATACCCATCGTCACACGGTCTCTGTTCTAAAAGGGGCGGTGATGTAGCCTACTGGTTAAAGGCCTCGCTATTCACACCGAAACCCGGTTCGATTCCACTCATGGGTACAATGTGTGGAGCCCAGCTCTGTTGCCCCCGCCGTGATAAAGCGGCTTAAAACCTCACTCACTCACTCACTGTTCTAAAGAAATCAGTATCATTTCAGGTGTTGCTGATTTTGGGAAATATTTGTTCTGCACACACGATCAGTGTCAATAATCGGGCATTCTCGATATCGTTATAACGAGAAACAAAGCAGCTTTTCTGCATGAAATAACACTGTATTTGTAAAAATAAAAACTCGGTTAATATCTGACTAATACACTGAAAATATATAACAAAACACTAACTGTTTTGTGCACGTGAACATTTTATTTCCTTATCCTATGATATAGAGATATGAACATTATGTTTTCATTTGTTTTACAATCACATAAACCTTAATTGAAGTATAGTGCTGTTTTCGCCTGCTCGCAAATTCGAAAACATTCACAACGATTCTAGAACTATCGGCTACGAAATTATCATTTGTGATTTAATAAAAAACAAAACAGATACCCATGACTAATCATCAAATTCTCTGAGTTAATATTAGATGTTTAGATTTCAAAACATACACAAAATAGCGCCATGAATGGTGATTTAATAATATGTTGTCAAAAATGGCGTGTGCCTAGTTTCAAAGGTCGTTTTCAGTAATTTTGCTTTGCCTAAATTGACAGCGGATGATATGTCAGAACAGAGAAATTCCCGCAAAATTGAAAACTTTGAAGTGTGTTTGTGTGGGTGATGTTTTTTGAATTTTATTCTACTTGAGGGTTGAAGAGAAGGGACATATATGCCCTATGGTATCCACGACATAAGCTCACTTGACTTTTAGTCAGGTGAAGTTTGATGTTTGGTCATCTTATACCGTACAAATGCAAGCAGAGTAATTACCAAAACAATCTATAATGTTCATCAAAGGATATGCATCCATAGTCGTCCGGAGATTTAATTCTCTAGAGTCAATGCAATATCGAATTTTGTCAGCTCTCGTGGTGACTAGACAGTTGGCCCGGCACAAGGTTTGTTTGTTTGTTTGTTGTTTAACGCCGCACTCAGCAATATTCCAGCTATATGACGGCGGTCTGTAAATAATCGAGTCTGGACCAGACAATCCAGTGATTAATATCATGAGCATCGATCCACGCAATTTGGATCGATGACATGCATCAACCAAGTCAGCGAGCCTGACCACCCGATCCCGTTAGTCGCCTTTTACGACAAGCATAGTCGCCTCTTACGGCATGCATGGGTTGCTGAAGACCTATTCTACCCCGGAATCTTCCCGGCACAAGGACTTGACGAGGGATGGTCTGCCTCTCGCTTAGCAATGGGCAATGATCGGTGAGCCTCTACAACATTAATACGATGTTGAACTAGGTTTGTCCTGACCCGGCCATCATCGTCTCTGGCAAAGTGTATGTGGATTGGTATTCAGTAAGGTTGGTTGGTTGGTTGGTTGGTTGTTTTACGCCGCACTCAGCAATATTCCAGCTATATGACGTCGATGTGTACATAATCGAGTCTGGACCAGACAATCCACTGATTGATATCATGAGCATTGATCCACGCATTTGGGATACGATGACATGCATCAACCAAGTCAGCGAGCCCGACCATCCGATCCCGTTAGTGGCCTCTAACGACAAGCATAGTCGCCTCTTACGGCATGCATGGGTTGCTGAAGACCTATTCTACCCCGGATCTTCAGGGGTCAGGTAGACAGGGCAACTACAACTAGTTCCACGTCGAATACTGCATATCCACTTCGACATGTCTTCAACACGAATGTTCAAGATCATAACAACTTATATTTGTCTCGGGGGCGGTCGGGTAGCCTAGTGGTTAAAGCGTTCGCTCGTCATGCAAAAGACCCGGGTTCGATTCCCGACATGGGTACAGTGTGTGAAGCCCATTTCTGGTGTCCCCCGCCGTGATATTGCTGGAATATTGCTAAAAGCGGCGTAAAACCATACTCACTCACTCGCTATATTTGTCTCGGCCCTACGACCTGAGCCGCTTCAAAAATTCCTCAAGCCCGACAGCCTGTGCACGTCGACCTTATCAGGTAACGATGCTGGTGTAACAGGAACAAGGATTGGCGGCATTCTGATAAGTAAAAAAGACCTGTAAACAACTCCGTCAACAGTCAACAATGTGTGATAGTTGTCAGGGCAGGGAATGGCTGCCCTGGGTCAGTGCTTCGGGTAACCGAACAACGCATATTGCGTATAAATGTCGCAAAGCATATATCAGGTAACTGGACTCTGAGCGATGTGGCACGCCTTGTTGGGCCACGTGATGCTCGGAGGGTGTGGAGGCAGGGTGGATACAATGACGTCTTTCTAAGAAATGTAACGTGAGGTAGTGTAGGTGGCAATATCCAACAAGTACCGGACTGACAACCTGCCATGAGTAAAGGGGATGTGGGTACACTGTTAGTCTGCCTCACAGTCCCTGAAGGGGCAGTCGGGTAGCCTAGTGGTTAAAGCGTTCGCTCGTCACGCCTAAGACCCGGGTTCGATTCCCGACATGGGTACAATGTGTGAAGCCCATTTCTGGTGTCCCCCGCCGTGATATTGTTGGAATATTGCTAAAAGCGGCGTATAACCACGCTCACTCACCCACAGTACCTAAACCATATTATTTCCCTTCTCCCCAACGCTTTCTCTGATGCAAAAACTGCACATGAAGCAAGTTTAGATTTTTCTTAGGTTTAGGTTCTGAATCTCTCATCTCACTGGGCTTTCTTTTCAATTTTAATGAAGTTATTTGTTTCTATCAAAATTATGTATTTCCAGAGCCTGTTAGAATCCTGTATAGTGTTGTGTATACGCTGTGTTGGTGTCCCATATAGTGTTGTGTATACACTGTGTTAGTGTCCTGTATTGTGTTGTTTATACACTTTGTTAGTGCCCCATATAGTGTTGTGTATACGCTGTGTTAGTGTCCCATATAGTGTTGTGTATACGCTGTGTAAGTGTCCCATATAGTGTTGTGTATACGCTGTGTTAGTGTCCCATATAGTGTTGTGTATACACTTTGTTAGTGCCCCATATAGTGTTGTATATACGCTGTGTTAGTGTCCCATATAGTGTTTAGATACGCTGTTAGCGTCCCATATAGTGTTGTGTATACGCTGTGTTAGTGTCCCATATAGTGTTGTGTATACACTGTGTTAGTGTCCAGTTTTGTGTTGTGTATACGCTGTGTTAGTGTCCCATATGGTGTTGTGTATACGCTGTTAGTGTCCCATATGGTGTTGTGTATACGCTGTTAGTGTCCCATATGGTGTTGTGTATACGCTGTGTTAGTGTCCTATATAGTGTTGTGTATACGCTGTGTTAGTGTCCCATATAGTGTTGTGTATACACTTTGTTAGTGCCCCATATAGTGTTGTATATACGCTGTGTTAGTGTCCCATATAGTGTTTAGATACGCTGTTAGCGTCCCATATAGTGTTGTGTATACGCTGTGTTAGTGTCCCATATAGTGTTGTGTATACACTGTGTTAGTGTCCAGTTTTGTGTTGTGTATACGCTGTGTTAGTGTCCCATATAGTGTTGTGTATACACTGTGTTAGTGTCCAGTTTTGTGTTGTGTATACGCTGTGTTAGTGTCCCATATGGTGTTGTGTATAAGCTGTTAGTGTCCCATATGGTGTTGTGTATACGCTGTGTTAGTGTCCCATAAAGTGTTGTGTATACGCTGTGTAAGTGTCCCATATAGTGTTGTGTATACGCTGTGTAAGTGTCCCATATAGTGTTGTGTATACGCTGTGTTAGTGTCCCATATAGTGTTGTGTATACGCTGTGTAAGTGTCCCATATAGTGTTGTGTATACGCTGTGTTAGTGTCCCATATAGTGTTGTGTATACGCTGTGTTAGTGTCCCATATAGTGTTGTGTACCGGGCAGGTGTTGGGAAATGTGTATGTGG